TGGGGCTGTGGCCGTGCTGGAGAGCCGCTCGTGGGGGGCAACTGGTGACCTCGGTAGGGCGTGAAGGACGGACCGGAACGACCCCCTTCCCATGAGGTTTTTGTCGCCCCCGCACCCCCGGCTCATACCTGCTGTCCACCAGGGTCCCATGCGGCCACCATCTTTCTTTCCAGAGGGAGGAGGGCGGAAGGGAGCAACACCCTTTCCCCTCCAGGCAGACATGATGGCCTGGATAAACGCATAGTCCATTCACTTTTCTGCTCCAAGCTGTTGGGTTCTGCATTAAGTCCTTGTGTTTCTGGGGCTGTGGCCGTGCTCCAAACTTAACTCTGATTTTCAGGGAGAAATGTTGTGTGATTTACTTCCCATTGATCACTTTGTATATACAGAGATGTCGCGCGGCCGCATAAGCGGCCACGCGGTTTGGAGGAAAAGTCCTAGTTCCCACATACTCAAGCTATGCTTGTGGAGGCTTCTGGTCACTGGGGTTCCATCTGGGGGAGGCAGGATGCGGCACCTACCCCATCTGGGACTTCCCGATGATCTCGGCTCTTTTTGGAACCTGGTTTTTTCTCTGGGGGCTGTGGAGCCAGCCCTCCATGTGGCCCTTCTCTTCCGCTGTATGCTGTAAAGATGGCGCTGGGGGGCGGGCTGTGGGCGTGACTTCCGGAATCAGAGGTTACCTGGGAGCCGTAGTTCCGGCAGTTTGGAGGAAAAGTCCTAGTTCCCGCATACTCGAGCTTTGCTTGTAGAGGCTTCTGGTCACCGGGGTTCCATCTGGGGGAGGCGGGATGCGGCACCTACCCCATCTGGGACTTCCTGGTGATCTCGGCTCTTTTTGGAACCTGGTTTCTTCTCCGGGAGCTGTGGAGCCAGCCCTCCATGTGGTCCTTCTTCTCTCTGTACGGCAGTGTGACTACCTAGATATTTAACACAAGTAATAAGTGGATTCTAAAGCATTACTGTTAAAATTACAAAACAAAACAAATATACTCCAAAATGCAAAACTGTAACCATAGTCTATAGAGGTAATGTAGTTGTTCATGTAAATTCCTCTTCGAGGATATTGGATGAGAAGACAGAAAAGGTCTGAAGCAGAGTTTAACAGGAGAGACTCAAAGGACTGAAACCTGAGGCAGTATGGGCTTTCCATTCAGAATTGCAACTTAGAGTGTGGATTCTTCTTTTTTGCTCTTGTGTGTCAATAGAAAAACAATACTCATTGCACAACACAAGGCAGTCCAAGGACTGCATATATTTTAATTTAATTCTGTGTAAAAGACTTAGCTGTCTTCTGCATCTTGCCTTTGTATTCTGTGTAAAGTGAGTTTTGAATAACAGGTTAGAAGGAGCTTTGGGTCCTGCAGAGAAGGGCTTTAGTGATTTGAATCTGGTGATAAAGAAGAAGACAGAGAGGCTGAGTGGGCTTATGAGAACATCATGCCTCAGGAGAAGTGTTAGAGCCTGACTTAAAGAATAAAGTTGAACAAGTCCATTAACTAGTATAGTGCTGATTTCCACTCCAGGGGGTTTTAGAAATGACTTAAGGTCAATTTCTTAGGTATTTGTATATATCAAGACTGAGGAAATAAAAAATTAAAAAATTAAAAAATCATTTTAATTGCTTTCAAAGTAATGATTATAGTTTAGGCGACATGTTTACAATAACATTAATGCTGATGGCTTGATGTGCAGTTACCACACACAGTGACCTCCACCAGTGTCCCTGTGTCTCATCTATCTCCCCATCCACCTCCCACCCCCACCTCCAGTAATCTTAATTTTATAATTAAAGCCAAGGACCCATCATCGTTTGACATAGTCTGTTCCCTTGTTCTTCCTCCTTCAATACCACTGATGAGTGACATCATCTGGTGTGTGTCCTTCTCCCTGAAACTTCATTGGCATAACTCAACACCATCCAGTTCTGTTTCAATTGCAGGGAACTGCAAGATTTCATCTTTTCTTTAGCTGCATAGAATTCCGTACTACAACTTAGTATTCAATACAGCAATTTCATTATCCACAATGGGGAATTTTTTAATAAGAAGAAACCGGGGCTGATGTGTTAATTAACTTAGAGTCAAAAACACCCTTTTTTTCTTATTTTTCCAAGTATTTTCCTCCATATATTTATTTAGAAATAACATTATATTTATATGGGTTTCAGGAGTACAGACTTACCTACAGTACCTTGTATATGATGTCGGTGGGCCCCTGGGAGACTTTGATGAGGTGGAGAGGAAAGAGATGGCCACTTTCTCCTGATCCATCTCTGCCACCTTGGGACCTGCTGGGAAGACTAGGACTGATAAAGTCTGTGATGGCATCGACCTCGAGTCCCGCCAGCCCCACTGGATAGCTGTCAAACCACACCTGATGTCCACTTGTTCTGCCTGGCATGGGCATTAGTCCCCACCACCCAATTTCTCGGGGAGTTTTGGACTTAGGCTGGTGTAAGGAATTGCTCTTTGCAGGAAAGGAAAGTCCTAGATCTTACGCAGGCCTGTTTAGTCCTTGTCCTTCTCACAGAAAAGAATTTCAGAAGTAGATGAGCAACGAAGAAAAAAACATTTTATTTGGTGTTATTTTTGTTTTCTTTTTGGGTCACACCTGGCAATGCTCAGGGGTTACTCCTGACTCTGCACTCAGAAATTACTCCTGGCGGTGCTCAGGGGACCATATGGGATGCTGGGAATCGAACCTGGGTTGGCCGCGCGTGCAAGCCAAATGCCCTACCTGCTGTGCTATCACTCCAGCTCCATTATTTATTTATTTTTTTCTTTTTGGGTCACACCTGGCAATGCACAGGGGTTACTCCTGGTTCTGCAATTAGGAATTACCCCTGGCAGTGCTCGGGGGACCATATGGGATGCTGGGTATTGAACCTGGGTCGGCCGCTTGCAAGGCAAATGTCCTACCCGCTGTACTATCGCTCCAGCCCCTTATTTGGTGGCTTTAAGGAAGGGGGGAAAGGGAAAGAGAGAGAGAGTAACATGTTCAGGAGAGAGCGGGAGCTTCTCCAATGGCAGAAAGAGACCCAGTACACATTTCAAGAGAGGAAATTTTGCATCACATGTGCTTGGGCGCCACATGTGCTTGGCCACATGGATGCAAACAGCACACAGGCTGGGGAGCATATACATGTGCTTCCTTTGTCAAGTTGGTTTTAATAGGGTTTCTCCCAGTAAGAGTTCATTGCTAGAGTGGTTGCCAAGGGGATAGAGATGAAAGTGGTTGATGGTCTTCTTTGGAAATTCCTATATACTTGCCCTTTGCTCCTGCTGCAGATGCTCGGAGTGGGGTGGGGGTGCCAGCCTTCTTTGGGGCTTTTGGCACGAGGTTAGGGTCTTAGCAGGCCTTCCTTCCTGTGTTCACAACAGCTTTAGGGCTGGTTGGTTGTTACTTTCCAGGAATTCCATTGCCATGGGGACCCTTTCCTATCTATCTGACTGCCTTACTGAGCACCACCAGAGTAATCCCTGAGTGCAGAGCCAGGAACAGCCCCTAAGCATCACCAGCTGTGCCCCCCAAACCTAAAACCTTAAAAAGAAAAGAAAAGAAAAAGTGAAGAAATCCCCTTTGTTAGTTGGAGAGATAGTACAGGGGTTAATGCATATGCCTTGCATGCTGCTGATAGGGACAAAAGGGGAACAGGCAGGGTGACATTAGGAATTTGGCCCTGGAGAGAGGGATTCATCAGGTATGGAAGGCCAGGAAGGTGACATAGGCAATGCCTGATAACATGGATGACTTAGGCCCAGCTGGGTCTGGAAGAAAATCATCTCAGCACCCTCTCTCCTGCCTCTGTGGTTGACATTCTTGGAAGACAATAAAATGTCCCACCCCACCATGTCTAAAAGGTTATCAAGAAGAAGGGTTTTTGCCTTTCTCTGGAATCCTTTAGGAGATCCCTCCCATAAGCTTCGTGCATTCCTTTCCTGTCCTTTCCCTTCCCTTAAGTAAAGTCTTTTCTGTATCTGACCACTTGATTTCCACTTCTTTGCCTTATACATCTTGATTGCTTGAGAACAAGAGCCTGAGTTGCCTGCACCAACTACTATAAAACTGCCCACTTGGCTTGGCATCCATGCTGCAGGTCACGCTGGGGCACCCCAGGGCTAGTGTGAGTAATCCCCAGCCCTGAAGGGCCTGAGCAGCACTGCATCTTTGAGTCCTTACATTTGGCCAAGAATCACCAGGAAGACCTCCTGAGGCCACGTAAGCCCTTGTGGGAAGGCCCTCACCTGTCCCCCCCTGCTGTGTGACCTGGCATGAATTTCTGGCATGAATTCCAACTTCTAGTCAGATAAAGATGTCTTTTAGGAACACAAAGGTGCCAGCGTGCCAGATATCGGCCACTTTGATCAGCTGTGTGAACCGCCTGAGGTCCTCTAAATAATGTCTTCAGATGCACAGTGCTTTTGTTTGTATTCTGGTTTATTTTGGTGTCATTGCTCAATTGCTCTTTGATTTCCCTCCCCCACCCCCGGTTGTGAGTTTCCTAGTCCACTCTTTGTAGGCAATGGAGAGAAAAGAAATATATATATATATATATATATATATATGTGTGTGTGTGTGTATATATATATATATATGTTGAAAGAAGCTAATATGGGACTAGAGTGATAGTCAGCGGACAGGGCAATTTGGGTTCTATCCTGGGTATCCCATATGGTCTCTGAGCAGCACCACTAGGAGTGATGCCTGAGCGCAGAGCCAGGAGTAAGCCCTGAGCACCGCCAGGTGGGGGTGGCTCAAAACCCAAAATAAACAAAGGAAAGAAGCAAGGGCCTCCCTTGCTTCCTTGCCAAGGTCTTTGCTTAAACCTCATGTCCACCGAGGTCAAGTCTGGCCCACCCTGCCCCGCTCCATCCTCGGTGCTTTGCAGGTGCTTAGTGAGGGTCTGTGCCGCGGCGCCCCACTCCTCTGCAGAACCCGCCCCCAGCACCCGCCTCCCCCATCCCTGATGCTTGACCGTGCTTCTTTTTGCTTTCCAGGGACTGGCCACCTGCAGACCACGGGCACCCCCACGCCAGAGCCCTTTGCTCCGGGGAAACTGCTGCCGATGTCACCAACATGGCCTTTCTCCGAAGTCCCGTCTCCGGGGCCCCGGCCGAGGACGGTGCTGGCCCCCGTGGACAACGGGAGCGCCCCGCAGCAGCAGCTGGACCCCGCCGTACAGTTCCCGCCCTCCTCGCTCCAGAGAAGTGGACAGAGCAGCGCCGCCCCTGGGCCACCGCTGGACCCCGCGACCCTGCTCCAACCCAGACCTCTCGGGGGACAGGCCGCCGCCCCGTCAGGTTGGCCTCCCACCAGCATGCAATCCCCGGAGCCCAACCCAAGAGCTGCCCTCCCTTCCCCGCCGTCCAGGGCAGCAACTCCTTCCGTGTCCAGCCGCCCGTCCTCCGTGAACCCAGAGCTCCTCTCTCCTTTCCGCACTGGCCCTTCCCCTGCAGTGCCCTGCCCCAGCAGCCCCTCCAAGCCAGAGCCTGTGTCCTCCCCAGAAGCCCTGCCTGACCCCTCCTCACTCCAGAAGGTGGCACAAACCCTAAATCCGTTTGCTGACCAGAGGACCCACCGTCCACCCTGGCGAACCAGGCTTTTGAGAGGCACCCTTGGTCTAGGCGACCCACGTTCCTCAGAGGAGCTGTCTTGGGCGCCGTCCCCTATTCTGTCCAGAGGCCACCTCACTCCCCAGTTTGGGCCAACACCCGTCCATCTGTCCCCGCACCCCCAAGCCCCTGCAAATGGTCTTTCGATTTGGGGGGGAACTCCCTTCTGGCCCATGTCAGGAGACGCATCTAATCCTGCCTCCCGTGGGCCTGCCCAAGCTGAGGTGGCCCCCAGCGGGCCCACCAGGGTGTCTCTGACCACCCTGAAGCACAGTGCAGCCGGGAGTCACCAGGCCCAGCCAACTCTTTCCCAGATGGCAGCAGAGTCTGTGGTGGTAGAAATGTCCAGTAGGAAGCGCCCCACAGCCACTGCGAAGGACTCTGCTCACTCACTTCCTTTGTCAGCCGTTCCAGAAAATTCCAAAGGGCCTCCTGCCCTCTCTGCAGAACGCACACTGTCCTCTCTGGTGACTTCTCTGCCTCTCACCAAAGCTGGCCCCGGGCAAACTCCCATGTCCGGGGCCGGGCCAGGGCCACCGTGGGATTCGGCAGGAGCAGCTGTATCCTCCGCTCGGACTTCCCTGCAGCAGCCGCAGGATCTGGTCTCTCCCCTGGCCGCTCCCCCAATGCCAACTCCGCGGGAAGAGGACAGCGACAGAGCCCCTCCGACTGCAGCTACAGACGTCCCCCTCTCCAGCAGATTTCCCAAGTATCTCTCCACAATGTGGACACTTGCCCCGCAGGAGGAGGAGAGCGAGACCGTCACTGGAGGGAAAAAGCAAAGGGCCAACCTGACCATCCGCACTCTCCAGAGCCTTCCAAGTGGAAGGATGACAAATCTTCACGCAGCGAATGGACTCATCTCTGATTTTAGCACAGATCCCACTTCACCTGCTGCGGTCTTAGCACACAGAGGGAGCCTCCTTCCTTCAGAATTACCTTCACTGTCCCTTTCCTCTAGACACGCCACCCAGACTCTTTCTTCCAACACCCGGCTGGAGACTCCCGCAGCTGCGAGGGACCATTCTGCATTGCCAGGTCCAGCTTCCAAACAGGTGACAGCAGTTCCCTCCTCTGCCGAGGGCTATGATTTCTCAACAATGGGAGTCAGGAAAAAGCCAGCAATCACAGATGTTTTCTGGAGTTCTTTTTCAGCAGGACCTGGATCCCTTTCCCCAGAACCCATGAAATCTGGCTCTCCTCGGCAAACAAATGATGATTTCAATGGGCCCACAATTAACTCCACAAGTTCAGAGACTCATTCAGCCTCAGCTACTCCTCCCCCTAGTTTCACTTCAGCTGCCAGTACAATAAACTTTGAGGATTTCAATGATGCGGCTGGGCATTTTGCAACGACAGAAGGCTTTAGCATGCACGATTCAGTCCCTGGTACAAGCACCAACCAGCCTGCTCAACAGTCAGATGTTCCTTTGCTTGGAGACCAGGCAGACATTCTGTCCACAAGCAATAACAACGCTTCCAGAAACTTCCAACCTTCTGAGTTTGAAGAGTCCCCATCCACAAGTTCTGTGTCTCATTCCCTTGCATCCACACATCCTTTCTCGCTAACTTCTCCAGGTAGACCTTCCTCAGCTAGCTGGCAGGACATGCTTTCAGATGGCATGGATACAACTGCCCAATTTGTCAGAAACACTTTTCCATCTCCTGTGATAAATGACGCCACCGTGTTCCAAGGCATCACGAAATATCACTCTACTACTACCGAATCTCCTCTCTCAAACAATGCCTTATTCCGCACCCCGTCCAAAGAGCTGCTGGCTCCTCAGCGCCCCAGGAAAGGGACAGGTGCCGCCATTAATGCAGGTAGTTTGTTTCCTGGGTTCCCCACTCCCTGCCAAATAGTGTGAGGGCTTCTGTGGCCAAAGTGTCTGGAAGAAAGCTCCAGCCAGAACCCCAGCTTTGCTCAGACGGAGCAGACGTGTCTTTGCAGGATGATGAATGAGTAATTAGTAACCCCAAGTAGTCACGTTCTCAATCCTCTGAGAACTTGACTTTTTTTTTTTTTAGGAAAGCATACAGAATCTAAGTGCTCATTACCAACCACCACTTTGCTATATGTGGCATCCTCGTTCAGGTTAATTGGGCTTCATGATTTGAGAGCCCTAAATTCCACCTAAATCCAGAGCACAGAGATGTTGTATCCCAGCAAACCCACGAGTTACGATTCATTCCCACACGCGATGCGTGCATTCCCAGGCAATGACCACCTTTGCTTCTCTCCTCTTTGCAGTGGACTCCTCGGTGCCATCCAAGGCTGAGCCGACAGCAGCCAGTGCTCCGTTGTTCCTGAGGAAAGCAAGTCCACCAGCGCTGTCTGCAGCCCTTGTTGCCAAGGGCACCGGTAGCAGCCTTTCGGCCTCAGGATTGGTCAAGAGCAGTTTGACCGCAGCCCTGGTTAAAAATGTCACAAGCAGCGTAGCCTCCAGCCCCAAGGTGACCCCTGGGACTGTCTATCCGGCCTTCTCATTCACACCAACCTACATGTTTGCCAGAACATCACACACCATGAGTGCTCACACAGCCATGCCAGGGAACACGGGTGCTGCCTTGGGCCTGGTGTCCACAACACTCCCCCCCAGGAAACCACAAGCCATGCACACAGGCCTTCCAAACCCCACCCCCCCAGGCATCCCTAGGGGGACCACCACTCGTTCGCTGACAATCACAGCAGCCTTGACCTCCATCACTGCCCCGGGAAGGGCCACTCGGTTGCCCCCCGTGCTGGCAGAAAACACAGATACGGCTCTTCCTGCTGTGTCCACTGCAGTGGTCACGACGGGAAAAATCACATCCAATCTGGAATGTCAGATGTCCAGTAAGCTCCTGGTGAAGACAGGTAAGGGTCCACAGATGTGATCTGATCTGAGAGCAGCAGGCACATCCTGTTAGCAGAGCGCTAACAGGACCCTGGGGTTTCCTTATGCCTCTCTGGGCTCCACTAGTGATGTCTGGAGACATGGGGGGGGGTCTAAATGCGGAGGGTGGGGCTGGAGCCATCATACAGTGGGGAGGAAGTTTCCCTTGCATGAGGCAGACCAGGGTTTGATTCCCGGCAACCCATATGGTCCCCCAAGCACCACCAGGAGTAACTCTTGAGTGCAGAGCCAGGAGGAACCCCTGAGCATCGCCAGGTATGACCCCCAAAAGCAAAATAAATAAATAAATTCAGAGGGTACGGAGGATCCTACCGGCATCTCACGGGTAAAGACCATAGATGCTGCTGAACATCCTTCAGTGTCCGAAGTCCAACAACAAGGAGTAATACAGCCCTGAAAGACAGGAGTGCCGGGGTTGGGAACCTCGGATCGAATGATGGAGGATGAGTGTTATGTGGTATGGAGCTTAGTCCTGGGACCAGCCCTAATATTAGAGGCCCCTGGAAAGTCAGTTATAAATGGGTCCGAGAAAACAGATGGACAAAGTTTTGCTTGTGAGTCAGTGATGTCTCACGTGAATGTGTGATGATTAGTAAAATACAAAATCTTGGAAAGTATAATAGATGTCACTTTATGTCATGTTTCTTCTTTTTCCTGTTTTCTTTTATTGTTTTTGGCCTGCACCTGGGCATTTTGGGGGGCATTTTAGGGTGCTGGGCCTCAGACCTGGCTCTCCCACATGCAAAAGAAGGTGATTAATAGCCCTATGTATCGTTTCTCAGGCCCTTGCACATATTTCTCATTCTCAGATTTGTGGGTGTCAGGGATTTCTTTTGATGTTAAAAAGGAGAGCTTGAAAAAGTTGGGTGGTGCAAAAAATCATTTTTTTTAGATTTAATATTCGTAGGTATTATCGGTTTCTGACAAGAAACCAGTTTTTATGGATTTACAATGCATCCCACAAAATATCATTGATTACAAAAAGCATAGTTGTGGCTCTAGGGGTTGGAATCAGGATTATTACTGAGGTAACATACCATAGTTTCAGATGAAAGCCATAATGAGAGCATTTGTATGTGAACGGCATAACGAGGGCATTTGTATGTGCTGCAGAATGATCACTTCAGTAATTTACTTCATATCCACCACCATACATAGTTACACTTTTTTGTTGTGATGAGAACTTTTAAGACCAACTCTCTTAATAGTACAGCTGGTAAGGTGCTTACCCTGCTGGTTGCTGAGTGAGGTAGGTTCCCGGCACCCATTCCATCCCCCCACGCACTTCTAGGAGGCCAGGAGTGATCCTTGAGTGCAAAGCTAGTAGTGAGACCTGAGAATCAATATAGCAGTAATCCCCGAGCATCACTGGGTGTGGCAATAAATAAATAAATAAATAAATAAATAAATAAAAACCTGAATAAAAAAGATCCACTGTCTTGGCAATTTTCAGAGACAAAACTCTATTTTTAGCTGTGGTTGCAATGTGCATGCCACTCCCAAGATTGACTGTATACCAGCCCCTGTATTCAATAGCCTGCCCCTGTTTGATTCATTCCCACCCCTGCCTCTGGCAACCACCAATCTGTTCTTTGTGAGTTCTATTATTATTATTATCCCCCCCTCCCATTTTTTTCTTCCCCTATAGATTCCACACCTAGGTGGAATCAGATACTATTTGCCCTTCTCTGTCTGAGGATGCTGTCTCTTTAGCCCTCACCTCCCAGTGGCAGCAAAGCAGGCCCGACGACACAGGGTGCTTTTAATAGTGTGGTAGTGTTTGCTATAAAAAGTAGCAGGCACCGTATTTGAGAGATCATGCCAATGTTGAATGCTCGCCTCCCGCCTTCCTCTCCCCCCACATGAATGAAGTGAAATGATATCTCGAGGCCTCTCCTATTCCAAAATGAGAAATTGTGAAAGTAGGCCTAGCAAAAAGCACAGTATCTCAATTTCCCAAGAAGTGACACCATCTGGTTAATCCCTCCTTCCCCCTCGCCCTCCAGATCTCTTTCCCTATGCATCCTCTTCTGGGTAGCAGGCCACTTCAGCCAGCTACTTGCGGAAGGCTAGAATATTCTCCTCTCCCTCTTTTTCCTCAACCCCTGCCTTTCTCCAGCCATTCCCACACAATCACCAGCTCCCTTTAGTCTTTTTTTTTGGGGGGGGAGGGAACAGGGTCACACCCAGTGATACCCAAGGGTTACTTCTGGCTCTGCACTCAGGAATTATTCCTGGCAGTGCTCAGGAGACCATCTGGGATGCTGGGGATTGAATCCAGGCCATTTGCGTGTAGGCAAATGCCCTACCCCCTATACTATCACTCCAGCCCCATACCAGTTCCCTTTAATTCTGTCTCTTGAACGCCCCCCTCCAGACCTCACTGCCATTTCCCTAGTTCACCTTGTCATCATTGCTCCACTAAATTTCTGCAGCGTAGACTAACCTAACCCCCTGCAGCCCTGCTCCCAAAAACGTTCTCTGGTCTGCAGTCTTGGGGACCTTCTAAAATGCATGTCATTGCTTATCACCCCTTACTTCCCATTTTGTCCTCAGAGTCAAGCCTAAAAATACACAGACCGGTTCCACTTCTTTCCTCTGTGCCTTTTCACTGCCCAGGCAGGTGCAGCCAGTGTCTCCTCCTGCCTAGCCTGACTTACTCCCATCATTTTCCAGCACTCTAGTGGAAGTGGCAGTTCCTCCAGGAACTGTGCCCACCTTCTTGCCCAGCTCACAGCTGGCAGTTCTTCTCAGAACTTCTGGTTGCATCAGGCACATGCAATCCCTCTGTTCTCTCCAGGCCTCCATCCCTGACCCGACCTCACCTGTGGGGTATCCTCCTGATTCGAGGGTGGGGGATGTAGTTATGGCCCCTCTCCGAGGCCCTGCCTTTCAGTAGGCTCTAGGAAAGAGATGCTGCAGGAATTTTCTGACAGACAAATCGACAGGACCTGGCTTTCAAAGTCAGAGGCAGCATTGATCAGAAACCAAGTGTCACTATCAAGCTAACATTGTCTCTACGAGGGCCACGCAGAGAGCCGGGGTCTTCCTCCCTTGAGACTTGAGCCGCACCAACAGTGCTTTCTCATAACCAGAACCCAGTCCAGCCCTCTCACTGCTTGGACCATTGCTGGCCTAGAGGAGGTGGTGGCTGGTGGGGAGAGGTGGGCTTACCGCTGAAGAAGTCTGCACCTTGCCCTGATGCCATGCTCTGTTTTACCCTACAGTTCTCTTTGTGACCCAAAGGAGAATGCAGATCAGTGAATCCTTGAGGCTCAACGTAGCCAAAGGGCTCACACAGGCATTGAGGAAGGCTTTTCACCAGAACGACATCTCAGCGCACGTAAGTCCCTTGCTTTTGTAATTACATTAATCCATCCACATTTTTCTCTTAGGTCTGAGGTATATTTAGTTTAGCCACGTTTTCCTCTTGGAACTGAGGTATATTGAGTTTGTTTTTCTCCACACTTGGTACCATCGCCACATTTGCCAGAAACCGGACCCTTCTTTCTTGATTTTGGCAAAGAGGTAATGCATGGTAGCTAGAGAAAGGGAGAATTTTGAGATAGAAAATCAAAGTTAATTGCCATATGTCTAGGTTATTTTTCCAACCTGGATATACCATTTTCAGTGGCTTCATTATGTTGTTGTTTGAGGAAAGAATTTTATGTCGGTAGTGGGATTCTCCAGAAGCTATCATTACCATGTCCTTCATCTTCTGACTGTTGTAAATAGCTCGTGATTTATTTCTGGACATTTAGAAGTTATTCTACATGTAAATCAAGTCCAACTTTGCTCAAATTGCCTGCAGCAGACGGGGAAGTACACATTCCCCCACCCCCCGAATCCCCACCCCCAAACAGTTTCATGCCAAGAACTGTTTAACAACTGCTAGTTGATTTTGATGGAAGCTTTGCTTTACACTCTTTTGGTTTGATTCCAAGTTTCAAATCAGCGAATGTGATTAGCAGTCAGTCAGTGGACAATCCTTTGCACCACTTAAAAGCAGTGATCTGGCTTTCTCCTCGCTGCTGCTTTGTTCTACAGCTGTGTTTAAGTTAGTGGTTCCTCTTTCCCCTTCAACACACCACAGACCAGTAAGAGTCTTGGTACACACTTTATTAGTCATTGTCCATATCTTTAACGTCATTCTGGAAAAAAAAATTAAGGGAAATGCTTTCCACAATCCGGGCTGGAGCAATAGCACAGCAGGTAGGGTGTTTGCCTTGTATACAGCCAACCCAGCTGAACCGAGTTCGATTCCTCCGCCCCTCTCAGAGAGCCCGACAAGCTATGGCAAAGCCTAGCAAGCTACCCTGTTGTATTTGATATGCCAAACACAGTAATAACAAGTCTCACAGAGGAGACATTACTGGGGCCACTCGAGCAAATCGATGAACAACAGGAGGACAGTGCAGTGGACAGTGCTAAAAAATTTAGGGCTGGAGGGATAGCACAGTGGGTAGGGTATTTTCCTTGCCTGTGACCGACCTTGGTGACCTGGGTTAGATTCCTCCGCCCCTCTTGGAGAGCCTGGCAAGCTACCTAGAGTATCTTGCCTGCACAGCAAAGCCTGGCAAGCTACCTGTGACGTATCCGATATGCCAAACACAGTAACAAGAAGTCTCACAATAGAGACGTTACTGGGCCCGCTGGAGCAAATCGATGAACAATGGGAGGACAGTGCTACAGTGCTTTCCACAATGGCCTCCTGTGTTTTCTGCACATGAAACTTTTCAAAACAAGTTCAAAACATGAGGGCTGGGGAAAAGGCTTGGAGGCCTGGAGCTCAGGCTCTGCATGCGGTTTGATTGTCATGTTCCTCATCATTACACCTTTCCACCCTCATGTTCCCCTTGAGCCCCTCCAGGAGAAGCAACACTGAGCACAGAGACAGGAGTAGCCCCTGAGAACTTTGGGGTGTGACCCCAAACCAAAACAAACTTACCAGCCAAACAAAAGACACACCAAACACACACACACACACCTCCACACACACAAAAAAATCGCCACATAAAAAGGACCCCAAACCCAAAGTTGAAACTAAAGTTTGGTGAAAATTGTGTCAAGCAACCAAATGGAAATGTTTGCAGTCATTTGCAAATTCCCTTGACAAATTTTGCCTTTTTTCGCCACATCATCACCAACCATTATGGCAATTACTATGTATTTTAAAAGTGTCTTTGGTGTTAATACCCTACTTTGAAATTCTGGTTATTTGCTACAAATAGAAGATAATCATAAAAATGAGAATAACGAAAACAACTTATTATTAAACTCAAGTTAGACTTTGTTGACTGATGATGATGTTAAGGCTAAGCCTGTGGTCCCTTTGTTCAAAGATAAGATTGCATGGATTAAAGAAGTGTTAAAAGTGAATAATTTCTAAATGAAGGACTGCTTCTTGAGGTAATTAAGATTGGAAAGGCAGCCATGTCTTACAAGGTGATTAGATGTTGTTTAGGGCTACATCTAGACTCGGTCAAGAAATACCTCTTGTCTTTCCTCAGTTCATCGTGAAAAGCACCTTTAAGACTGTCAGGGGACCTCACATTATCATGGCTGAGAAACAGGAGAAATGTGGAGAAATCAGAGTCAGCTCTCCTACTCCAAGTCTATCTTGTTAATGTGGATGAGAATATAGGGCAAAACAAGTGTTATAAACAACTCAGGCTGTGATGATAAAACACCAGGAAAGCCGCACAAAATAAGAGTAAAATGGGCTGGAGATGTGACTCAGTGATTGAGCACATTCCTTGTTGCATCTGAGTTTGAACCCCAGCATATCCTACTCCCCAAACCCTGGAGAATGATTTCCCCTCTAACACATTAGCAACAAAAACAGAATAAAAGCTGAGACCTCAGCCTCTTCTAGTGGATCAGAAAGCTCTAAGATGATCAGCCTTACAGAAGGATATTAGGACCTGATGAAGAAATTTCATGGTCCATTCTCTAACCAACCTCGGACTAATTTAGAAGCACAACAAGAGTTAATGTTCAATAATTATTTTTTTAACTTTAATTTAATTTTTATAAGATGGCTTATTACATTCAATATTCCAACACCAGTCTCACCATCATTACACCTTTCCACCCTCATTATTTCCAATTTTCCCAACCACCACACAAGCCTGCCCCAATAGCAGGCCTTAAATAATTTATTTTATATAGCTTATTATGAATGATTTGCTCAAAATGATCAAAAAAGATTTTCTTTTTAAGAAGTGTGTGAAGATTGTTGTATCTCACCCTGGAGCTATTAAGCCCTAGTGTAAGAAATTACTAACATGTTGTTACAGGTTAAGCTTTGTGTATTAATATTTTCTTAATCGAAATTGATTGCCTTCTACTTTACATCATCCAAAGTGGTGTGATACTCCTGGTATATCAGTGGTGTAGAGTTTGAAATGTCGCTCCAGGAATTCTAGAATTTTGAATGGGGGGATATAGTTGGAGTGAAATTTTTAACTGGATGGTGACTTTGGGGTCCAGAAGCATTTCTGCAGCTTCTGGATCTCTTTCGATATTTATTGAAATATTTGAATATATTGGATAACTGTCACTGTCACTGTCCTCCCATTGTTCATTGATTTGCTCGAGCGGGCCCAGTAACGAATCCATTGGAGACTTTGTTGTCACTGTGTTTGGCATATCGAATACGTCACAGGTAGCTTGCCAGGCTCTCCGAGAGGGGTGGAGGAATCGAACTCAGGTCGGCCATGTTGGCTGTGTGCACGGCAAATGCCCTACCCTCTGTGCTATCGCTCCAGCCCAATATATATTGGATATATTGAAATATTTGGGGTTTTATAATCCAAATATTCTGGATCGTGGCTGGTTAATGAACTCATATGGTGCTAGAGGTAGTTCATGAGCATGACCACCAGGCTCCAGAAGAACAGGGAGATGGTGGGAGGTCACCCAGCCCCGACTCCATGAGAGCCTGGAGATTAGGGTCACAAAACCCGCATACCTGAGTTTTCCAACAGATTCATTCCTGGATGAGGCTCGTCCTGAGCCTATGGAATCTGGCCGTGAGCATAGCTGTGATTGGAGTGTAAGGTTCAATATTTCTTCTGAGAGGAAGTTTTACCAATCTGACCCCAGTCCTGAAGGTGTCCCCGATTATCTACCTTTTAATGTTCATAAATGATAGAAGTATGATAAAACTGATTCCCTAGAGTTCCATTCCCTACAAATCTTCTGTTCACCTTCTTGGGTGATAGTAGGCACTGTGAAGTTGATGCTCACTGAAGCCCTCAGGAAATCTTATATCCCTTGCCCCAATTTGGCTCTATTTCAGGTTTTATATAAATTATATTTTCTATTCTGCTAGATTGAGGCTTGCCTGTCTATGTCTGTACTATAAGGTTGTTGTCATATTGACTGAGTGGGAAGTTCCTGTTTCTCAGCCATGAAAAAGAGCATGTGGTCCTCTGAAACTCTAAGAGGAACTCAAAGTACAGCAGAAAAGAGTACTAAATTCTATGGTCTATTTGTTTTGTAGGTGGATATTCTGGAACATTCTCATAATGTCACGGTTGGTTATTATGCTACCAAAGGAAGACTCGTGTACTTACCTGCTGTAGTGATGGAAATGTTGAGTATTTATGGAATCAGCAATGTCACTGCAGATCTGAAGCAACATACACCTAATTTGCAGTCTGTGGCAGTACTTGCTTCCCCATGGAATGCCCAGCCTGCTGGCTACTTCCAGTTAAAGACAGGCAAGTCATTCAGAAGGCATGGATTCACAGTCTAGTGAGGAGGGTACCAAAAGGATCAAATTTGAAAATTCCATCATCAATTGCTCTCGTCTAACATCTCTGTGTACCTTCCTGAAAGTGTTCTGCTAATCAAATGTCCAGCTTCCCTCCATAACTACACTTTCCCTTGAATGTGTTAGAAATACTCCATAAAAATCTTCCTTCCTAATTAACATAGTATTCATGAGCACCAAGTACTATACTATGAATTTTTTTCTCTGTGATCAGTGGACACTGTATGAATTGAGTCTATGTGAAATATTTGCTTTGCATCCACATGTTCCAGATACTGCTGGAAAAAAAAAAGAATTTCAAAGCTTAGGTCTTGGAAAGTTTCTTTCATTCAAGCTCCCTGGTGCTTCTGTTCTTGTGGTCTGAAAACCACAAGAGCGGAGAAATTATTGAATTCAAAGACTCAATCAACTTAGTAATGTAGGTCAATTGATTGTTTTTATTTCCCCTCCAAAGAAATAAGAAGACACAAGCTATCTTAGGTTGCTTTTTGTCATCGTTGGAATAGATGTCTGAATGTTTCATTCAAATAAAATCACAGTCCTTTTTGTTGGAAGAATATTCTGGCTCCAACATGCTTTTAATTCTTTTATGTTTTAAACTAGAATTCGTCAACTTTTTCACATCTGTGGACTATCATCTGTCTTGTGTATCAGACTATAAACCAGCAATTATAACTATGGTCATAAACCAGTGTTTTTCAACATTTCTTTACCTGAGTATTGCACCCATACATGGACTGGTGATTGAAAACCAATGTTTTTAAGCATTTTTATTTATTTATTTATTTATTTATTTATTTATTTATTTTATTAGTGAAGCACCATGAGATACAGTTGTAGATTTACAAATCTTTGTGCTTGGGTTTCGGTCATACAATGATCAAATACCCATCCCTCCACCAGTGCCCATTTTCCACCACCATGGATAATATCCCCCCCCACCCCCCCCCCCCACCCTGCCTCTGTGGCAGGGCATTCCCTTTTGTTCTCTCTCTCCTTTTGGGTGTTGTGGTCTGCAAAAAAGGCATTGAGTGGCAAACATGTTCAGTCCATAGTCTACTTTCAACATGCATTTCCCCTCCTGGGAGGATCCTCCAAACACCCTTTATTTGGTGCTCCTTTCTCTATCTGAACTGCCCTTTCCCCTAGAATACCCGGCTGGCCTCTAAGCTATGGAGTAATCCTCCTGGTGTTGATCTCAGCTATTCTTGGGTATTAATCTCATATTTTGTTGCTTTATATCCCCCAGATGAATGCAATCTTTCTATGTCTATCCCTCTCTTTCTGGCTCATTTCGCTTAGCATGATACTTTCCATATTGTACCACTTGTATGTAAATTTCATGACTTCATCTTTTCTAAGAGCTACATAGTACTCCATTGTGTAGATGTACCAGAGTTTCTTTAACCAGTCATCTGTTCTTGGGCACTCAGGTTTCTTCCAGTTTCTGGCTATTGTAAAGAGTGCTGCGATGAACAAACAAGTGCAGATGTCACTTCGACTACACATTTTTGCCTCTCTGGGATATATTCCCAGAAGTGGTATTGCTGGGTCAAATGGGAGCTCAATTTCTAATTTTTTGAGAAACGTCCATACTGTTTTCCAAAAGGGCTGAACTAGTCGGCATTCCCACCAACAGTGAAGGAGTGTCCCTTTCTCGCCACATCCACGCCAGCATCGGTTGCTTTTGTTCTTTTGAATGTGGGCCAGTCTCTGAGGTGTGAGATGGTATCTCATTGTGGTTTTGATCTGCATCTCCCTGATGATTAATGATGTGGAGCATTTTCTCATGTGCCTTATAGCCATTCGGATTTCTTCTTTGAGAAAGTTTCTGTTCACTTCATTGCCCCATTTTTTGATGGGGTTGGATGTTTTCTTCTTGTGGAGTTCAACCAGTACTTTGTATATCCTTGATATCAACTCCTTGTCAGATGTGTATTCAGTGAATATCCTTTCCCATTCTGTAGACTGTCTTTGTAAGAGTCACTTTCAAAACTGTAACTAAACCCTGTCTTTAATTTGTGTAAAATCATATAAAACAATGCTGTTTTGTGTCATTACTGCTTATTATTAAATCCAATGGTCAGAGACACAGTTCTGGTGAGTATTGATTTATGATTCTCTTTCTAGTTCTGCAGTTTGTAAGCCAATCTGACAACATACAGTCCTGCAAATTTGCTCAGACAATGGAACACAGGCTGCAGAAGGCCTTCCAGGATGCTGAGAGGAAAGTCCTGAACACCAAGAGCAACTTGACTATTCAGGTGAGGAGGGATTTTACGTGTATTTCCCCAGATGAACAGTCTTCCAGCCTTCCCAGTGCTTTTTATTATGTTAAAAAATTGAACTAGCTGTATTAGATATGTCAAAAGTCTACAGTAAAGTAAATCAATTTGAATGAGCCAATTCATCAAGATTGATCTGTTCTGTGATTTGCATTAAATTATTTTCTAGACTTCCACAAGAACAGTCACCTTAGTTTAAATACACACACTTTTTAATATTAATTTTTTATTTATTGAATCACTGTGAGACAGAGCTTTACAAAGCTGTTCATGATTGGGTTTCAGTCATATAATGTTCCAACACTCATCCCTCCACTAGAGTAATTTCCCAGCACTAATGTCCCTAGTTTCCCTCCCCTCCCCACACCCCCCCAAACCACCTCCATTCTAGCCTGCCTCTATGGCAAGTACCTGTCTTCTCTCTCTCTCTTTATCATTCTCTCATTTTAGGCATTATGGTCTGCAATACAGATGCTGAAAAGTTATCATGAATATCCCTTTACCTACTTTCAACACTCAGTTCTTGTCCAGAGTGATCATTTTCAACTAATGTTGTCATAATGGACCTTCCTCTATCTTAACTATCCTCCACCCACTATATCCTTGTACACACACTATATATTTTTTTAATATTATCCTCCTAGGGCTGGAGCAATAGCGTGCAAGGTAGGGCGTTTGCCTTGAACGCCGCCAGCCTGGCTGACCCAGGTTTGATTCCTCTACCCCTCTAGAAGAGCCTGGCAAGCTACCGAGAGTATCTTGCCCGCACGGCAAAGCCTGGCAAGCTACCCGTGATGTATTCGATATGCCAGACACAGTAACAACAAGTCTCACAATGGAGACATTACCAGGCCCACTCGAGCAAATTGATGAACAACGGGAGGACAGTGCTACAGTGCTACACACTCATTTTATATTTAGGACTTACTATATGTCAAGAGTGTGCTATGTATTAGACTGGTGTTTTGCTACATAACCCTCAAGACATCCTTCTGTAGTATTGTTATCTCCATTTCACAGAACAGGGAACTGAGATTAGTGAACTTCCACACAGATGGTAGTGAGTATGATAAAGAATTGAGCCCAAGACCATAGTTTTATCCACATAACTATACTAGTACTAGTGCTATGTTTCAGAAATGAAGAGGTGTGTGTGTGTGTGTGTGTGTGTGTGTGTGTGTGTGTGTGTGTGTGTGGTGCCAGGGATTCATATCCAGAGCCTCATTCATGCAAGGTATGCACTCTACTACTGAGCTCCATCTCTGGCTATAAATGGGATTCTTTTTTGTTCATTTTAGAGTAATACCTGATGGCGCTTAGGGCTTATTTCTGACTCTAGGTTCAGGGATCACTCCTGGAAATGCTCAGGGGGCCATATGGAGTGCCAGGGATTGAACTAGGGTCGACTTTGCTGTCTGGCCCAATAAATGGTTCTTTTCCCAAGAAACTGCGAGTCCTGTATACTATAATACACCATCCTGGATTTATGGTAGACAAAGTCTTTCTCAGAACATTTTTTCCCCAGTTAAATAAATATCCCACTGTAATCAAAACTTCTTAATGATACCCATCCATCCCTCAAATTTCTCTAACTGTACTAAATAATGTCTTTCTTTTAATTGAATATATATCTTTGAAGTTAAACCCAATGATTTTGAAGTTGACATTTAGCATAAGTCAAGTACAGTGAAGCCAGTAAGAAGTAGAACCCATATTATTTAATTTAAATGAACAGTATTCCTGTTCTGGACTTATCCAAAGCGTATATGGAAGTATCTCATTATGACTTAGTTCATATTAAACTAAGATCTAAAAATGTGCTATAGATGTGAGATTTATGTAAGGAGAATGACTCAGCTCTCTTGAGGGAGATGTTTTTCTCTCTAATTGGATTTGTGATCCCCACAGGTGTGAGAGTCTAGTTAAGAGTTTTGAAGCAGAGCAGACTTTAATTGTATTCACTAAACACAGATTTACTGAGTTCTTCTATTAAGTAGGCATTGAATAGGACACTCAGATGAGCAAGCTGCCTAGGGTCAACAGAAGCCTCTCTTGGGCCAGAGAGATAATTCCAAGAACTAGAGCGCTTGCTTCTCATGCAACTCTACACACCAAAAGTGACCTTCTGAGCATTGCTGGATGTGGCCCCCCAACAAAATGCAAACAGTAACTACAAAATTGCATCTCTTGTGTTGTGAGTCTGGAGATGAAACTATGAAGCCAGTAACAAGCCTCCTTAGAAGAGATTGCAACAGGCAATTTGAAAATTGCATTGAATAAATTTTAGAGGTCCTTGAACATATCAACAGCTCTTGAAAGTAGTATGAATTGATAATGGGCGTATTAATCACTAGATTCATTTTTGCATTGGCTAATGGAAAGCCCAGAGTCTGGACTTAACAGCCCTCTGGGCCCCTTTGTCATACATAGATAATAATATGCTCACCATCCCCTGGGGCTGTCGTTTTTGTTTCCCCAGGACCTGGTTTTGCACGAATACTTCCCTTTTTAGTGTATTTAATAGAATTTGTGGGGCTCCTTGGTGAAATAAGGAAGAACACATAAATATTTATTTAATTGCTTTGCTCAAAGTGCTATTGAAAAAGTGACAGTTTTATCGTTCTTTGTATTTTTACGTGTAGAGCATTAATATCAGGGACTAGATTACATTTTATTCAGTCAGAACTTTTTGGTTGCAAGTGACAGAAAGGCATCCAAAACTTAAGCAAAAAGAAGCAGGGATAGGGCTGGAGAGATAGCACAGTGGGTAGGGTGTTTGCCTTGCACTTTCACGCATCTGACCCTGGTTCGATTCCCAGCATCCCATACCGTCCCCCCTGAGCACTGCCAGGAGTAATTCCTGAGTGCATGAGCCAGGAGTAACCCATGTGTATCACCAGGTGTGACCCAAAAAGTAAAAAAAAAAAAGAAGAAGAAGAAGAAGAAGCAGGGATTGGTTAAAGGTGTCAAGACAAGATTCGGGGCTCATTTACTTCAGCACCATTGGAACCTAGGGCGTACCTGATTTCCTCATAGAGTTCTCCATCTCTTGCCTCCTCTAATTTTCTCCCATTCTTTCAAGCTTCCATCAGTTGAAGCTAGAGTGCAGAGGAACCAATGAGGGGCTCAGAGCAGGGTGATATGAGAAAAGAAGGAGGTTCTGGAGGGGAAGGTACAGGCACCCGAACAACTGGCCAAGACTCTCACTAAACCAAATGTCTTCCTCCTGCCTCTGCTTTTCAGACCTTGCCCACGGCATATTTTTGTCCATACATTGATCCAGAAAACCTCATTTTCTACTTGCTAACAAAACTGATTACCAGGCAATGGGGGTGGTAGGACGAAGAGGTAGACTAGAGGTGACGTGGGGACAATAGTGGAGGGTCACAGGCATTTTGATAGCGGGGTGCAGTAATTTTGTGTATCATAAACATTAACACTGTTATAGCAATGTTACATAAACCATATATTTTTAATTACTTTTTAAAAATAGGGGCCTAAAGAGATAGTACAGTAGGCACGGTTTTTGCCTTGCACGCAGCTGACCTAGGTTCACTCCCCAGCACCCCACGTGGTCCTCCAAGCACTACCAGGAGTGAGTCCCTGAACACAGAGCCAGGAGTAAGCCCTGAGCACCCAGGTTTGCCCCCACCACCGCCCCCAAAATTGAAAGTCAGCCCTGGACACAAGAGTTTGTTAAAAACAAATAAAAAATGTTTCTAATCTCGATGAGAGTATGGATTTAGACAAATGGTAGAAGAAAGTCACACTTCTCATGGTAATATTTACCTAGTTAATGCTGAAAGAATGAGCAATCAGGAGAAGCAACCACTCTTGAAAGAAGCAAATAATGTATGTTTCTGAATTCTTTCATAATAAAGTGCTGTCACCCTTTTCTTCACTGAGTTGAGGGTCAGCCCTATCCTTTCAGCTTTAAAATTCCCTAGCATTAGTCTCAGGCTTTTGCTGTCAGAACAGTTATCCTCCTTAAATTTAACATTTCTGGAGCTGGAACAATAGTACAGTGGGTAAACCATTTGCTTTGCATGAGGCCAACCCGGGTTTGGTCCCTGGCATCCCATATGGTCCCCCAAGCACCACTAGGAGTAATTCCTGAGTACAGAGCCAGGAGTAACCCCTGAGCATCACTGGGTGTGACCCAAAAAGAAAAAAAAATGAACATTTCTGAGATTTATAGTTTTCAGAATGATAAAAGGAACTGGAGACAGTTTAAACTCTAGAAAACACACACACACACACACACACATTCCATAGCACATCACACCACACTTACACACACGTGGTTAAAATGTGCAGCTGGTCAGCTTGCCTGTCTTTGAATCCTGGCTCCATCCCTTATTAGCTCTGTGACCTAGGGCATGTCTCTTGATCATCTGAGACCTCAGTTTCCTCCTCTGTAAAATGGAGACATTTTGAGTGCATGGAAAAGATTAAATGAGATAACATGTCCTTAACACAGTCTGTGTGGCACAAAGCAATCAGAAAATGAATTCTCTTCTTATTCTAGTCTTATCCTTGCTCTTATCTCACCCCCTTTTCATTCCTACCCTCGGCTTCTGCTTAGACTACCCCTCCCACGGTCTCCAAGAAACAGATCCTCATCTTATTTACCATGTTTCCCTTCACTCTTTCCTCCCATGTCGATTCAGATTGTCAGCACATCCAACGCCTCCCAGACAGTCACGCTGGTGTATGTGGTGGGCAATCGGAGCTCGTTCCTCAACGGCACGGTCGCCAGCAGCCTCCTCCGCCAGCTCTCGGCCGAGCTGGTGGGGTTCTACCTCACCTACCCGCCGCTCACCATTGCAGAACGTGAGTATGCACGCAGCCTCTGGGCACGCCACCTTCATCCTTTCCCTGGAGCCTTCCTCCCTTGAGCAAATACTTCTTGTGCCACACCCCCATATTGACTTTTCTATCACAGAACAGCTGAAATGTATGTTAACTGGGGACTGAATTGTTTGTGTGCTCTAAAAAAATATTCCTACATGCCTTCCCCTTGCACCTAGCTCATCTCCTTCCATCTACTCCATCACCCTACATTGCTGGAGTGGGGACGTGGATGTAGCGAGGTGTGCAGCATTAGTCTCATGCTTCAAAGAAGAAAATTGAAGCCTCAAGCGGATTGGTCCTCTGTTGAAACCTGCCTCAAGGGCTGGGGGAGAGGGCAGTTGGGATAGAGAAGGGGCCACTATGACAATGACAGTTGGAAGGGATTGCTCTGGATGGGAGGTGTGTGCTGAAAGTAGGTAAAAGACACCAAACATAATGGCCTCTCAGTATCTGTATTGCAAACCCAATTGTAATGCACAGGAGAGAGAGAGAGAGAGAGAGAGAGAGAGAGAGAGAGAGAGAGAGAGAAGAAGAAGAAGAAGAAGAAAAGTACCTGCCATAGGGGCTGGAGTGATAGCACAGTGGGTAGGCGTTTGCTTTGCACGTGGCCGACCCGGGTTCGATTCCCAGCATCCCATATGGTCCCCTGAGCACCGCCAGGAGTGATTCCTGAGTGCATGAGCCAGGAGTAGCCCCTGTGCATCACTGGGTATGAACCCCCCCCAAAAAAAAAGTGCCTGCCATAGAGGCAGGCTGAGGTGTGGGGTGTGGCAGGAGGGGTATGGGGGATATTGGTTGTGGGAAATGTATACAGGCAGAGGGATGGGTGTTGGAACATTGTATGACTAGAACCCCATCACGAAAGCTTTGTAACTATCTCACAGTGATTCAGTTTTTTTTTTAAAGAGGATTAATGAGAAACCTGCCATTCACATAGCGAGGGGGACCTGGATCCAGGTCTGAACCCAGCTGCCTGGCGAGAGCATCTTTGCCGGTGGTAGTCTGCGTTTTGGCTTCCCCGACGTCTGCATCTGCCATCCTCAAATGCAACCCCACCCTGGCAGTAGTTACCATAATGCAGCTTATATACAGTCAGCTTCATGACTTCCCTTGATGAAGTCCCCATAGGCTGGTGTCCTCATCGGTCTCGATTACTTCCGTTACATAATCATCATTACCATGCATCAGGCAGGGACTGCGGGAAACTGCACAGCCTACATTTTGTACCCTGACTCTTATTTGGTAGCCCAAGGCAAAGTTACAATAGTGCACTTCAAGGTAATCATTGGTACATGTTTCTAAGGTTCCCGGGCACTTAGTTTAATACAGATTTGCCGGCATGTCTCTATTTTTGCTGTTCTTGTTGTTTTGGCTTTTGGGTCACACCTCCAGGTGCTCAGTACTTACTCCTGGCTCTGCTCTCAGGGATCACTCCTGATGGATCTCAGGAACTGGGGGGTGGAACCTGGGTTAACGGCAATGGAGGTGAGCGCCCTGCCTGCTATACCATTGCTCCTGCCTGATATATTTCTATTTCTCTGATTCCTTTTGATGCTGTAAGCAAATGAGATAGGTATAAATGTACTTGTTTAATACACAGTAACTGCACAAATTTTTTGTTGTTGTTTTATTTGGGGGATGGAGCGATAGCACAGCGGGTAGGGCGTTTGCCTTGCATGCAGCCAACATGGCCGACCCGAGTTCGATTCCTCCGTCCCTCTCCGAGAGCCCGGCAAGCTACCCAGAGTATCTCGCCCACATGGCAAAGCCTGGCAAGCTACCCGTGACGTATTCGATATGCCAAACACAGTAACAATTATCACAATGGAGACGTTACTGGGCCCGCTCGAGCAAATCGATGAACAACGGGAGGACAGTGACTGTTTTATTTGGAGGTCATGCCTGGCAGTGCTGTGGGAACTATCCCCAGCTTATGTTCAGAGGTTGTTCCTGGTGGTATTAGGGGCCCAGATGGTGTTGGGAATAAAACCCTGGGGTTCCCGCATACAAAGACTCTGCTCCAGTCCTCTGGGCCATCTCCATAGTCCTGCAAAAAAGTTTTTGTATGTCTGTTCAATGCCAAGCTTTTACAAATTCCTTCTGTAGTAAGGGACAATGACTCTGCATTTTATGGAAAAGACCATGTCATAAAGATGCACACGTCATGTGGCAACATGTGAGGAATTCATTTTCTTTTATCGTCTTGGTATTCTGATGAGTATCAACCACAACAAATAAGATGTATTGAATACTCACTCTGTGCCAGATGCTGTGTCTTTTACACGTGTTAACTCTGATTGATGATCACACCTAATAAAGGCCTGTACTGTTTGTTACAGGCATTCAGCTACTAAACTGAGTTCTTAAAATGGAAAAAACATCCATTCCATAATCATTCCTTAAAAAGTTAGTGATGGGATCAGAGCGATAGTACAGCAGGTCGGGTGTTTCATGCAGCCATCCTGGATTCAATCCCTGGCATCCCATATGGTCCCCTGAGTAATTCCTGAGTGCAGAGCCAGGATTAACCCCTGAGCATCACTGAGTGTGACCCCAAGACAAAAAAAATGTAAAAAGTTAGTGATGGTTGATGTTTTTGTTTTGTTTTGTTTTGTGGCCATACCCAACTGTATTCAGAACTTACTCCTGGCTCGGGGACCCCTTCTGGCAGTCTTGGGGGACCATATGGGATTGAAACTGGATTAGCTGTATGTAAGGCAAATGCCCTATCTACTGTACTGTTGCTCTGGCCCCTGACTGAATGATTTCAAAAGAGAAAACACTATAGTTAAGGCAGGTTCACGTGGTCGATCTTGATATTAAAGATGTTCACCTAAGGCAATTTTAATAAAAATACTGAGTGAACAGAAACCAACAAATCCCAGAAAACAATCATTTCACCTGAAAGTTACTCTTTTACTGCATGATTGCATTACCCAGTAATTTGGGCTTGTATGATCTTGAGTTCCAAGAATGATAAAGCAGGGTTTTGCTGCTTGGTCATTTGTCATATATGTCCTTAACAGCATATGCAACCTGTTTAATTTGGTGTGTTTCTTGTTTGTTTTAGCGCTGGAATATCCCAACCTTGACATATCAGAAACAACCAGAGACTATTGGGTAATTACAGGTAAACTCTTATTTTATTTCCCCCTTTTAGCCCTCTCAGGTCAGTTTGGTTTTGGAAACTGCGTACCACATTCAGTATCTCTATTAGCATCTTCCCTTTGGTCTTGTCAATGAGTCAATGGTTACTCTCCTGGGGATGGAGGAAGTAGAGAGAAGAAAAGAGAAGATGAACACTGGGTACAGAGTATCAGGGAAACAAACACTGCAGAATGGACGCCTTTGAAATCCCACCCTCTTTGCAGAGGGGCTTCCTCTTTGACCAGAATGTTCAGCCTTCTCTGTAGTGGCTGGAGCATCTCCATGAGAACTGTGTCTGTCTGTCTGCACTGCCCCACCAATCCCAGTGGAGGAGGAGGAATCCAGGGCAGGTGGTTTTCTCTCCCTATTGGCACAACCACCGCCCCCCTCCTACACACACACCCCACGCTGAAGTAGCCTGAGCATGTCTTGAGTGTGAAAGGGGGGAGTGGGGGTAGGGGGTGGTCAAAAAGCGTTTGAGAAGCACGTTCTGTTTTGTTCCTTAGACTGAGAACAAGGAGAGAGTTTGGACGAGGAAAACTGATCAGCCAAGCTGTGAAGTGTGTGTGTGTGTGTGTGTGTGTGTGTGTGTGTGTGTGTGTGTGTGTGGTGGGGGAGTGGGGAGTGGAGAGGGGTGGGAAGGGGGTGGACAGGAAGGGGAGGGCAGCATCTGTGAGGACCACGTAGATGGGGGCGGGGCTTCAGACAATAGATTTCAATGGTTTTACACCTAGGACTAGCTCCTGTCTGTCCAGGGTTCTTGGTAACCACTGCTTTAGCCCAACACCTTCAACCTCTTCACCCCTGCTCACAGGCAGTGGGAGAGCAGGACCTTACCTGCAGAAACTGATTCCCTCACTATTTCAGAGACCGGAAGTCTGATCTTCTAGTGTCAGCCTTGTGTTTTTCTTCTAGGCAAGCACCTTAAACCCCCCTCCCCCCCTTCCAGGTACTATCTCTCGGGATCATGTTTTCTTCTAAGATCTCTCTTCTGTGCCTCATTTCCTCTGCTTAGAAGGGTGCATATTAAATTGGATCAGTCCCCTCCCGCCTTCCCCAATAACCTCATTCCTCCACAAGCTTCTCTTTAAAGGCCTTCTCCCCAATGCACCCACTCACTCATTCTGAAGTTAGGACACCCAATTCTGAATTTGGGGTGGAGGTGAGGAGCAGAAGAGGCAGCTGGACCCAGCTCAAGGAGGGATGAAGATCCTGCAAGTCTTGAAGGAAGCCCCCAGCAGGCAGACCCATGCTAGCCGTGCCTCCTCCCCCTGCATCTGCGCCCTCCTTCAGTGTCCCAGACAAGCCCTGGATGTGCTGCTGCCGAAAATACCAACTCAGGAACACATCCCGCTGCGGCATGAAGCGGCTCAAAGTCTCTCTCAAATTGCTGAAAATTGCATTTCCCATCCCTCCCCTCCTCCCCCGACTGCTCCCACCCTGCAGAGCTCTGGCTAGGCAGAGGTGATTTTTACCTGCTCTGAAGTCAAACCGAAGAAATGTGCTTAAAACAAAATCAGAGTTTATGCCCAAGGGGAAGACAATGCTAAGCCAGCAACACCTCTTCAAAAGCCTGCCTGTTATGTAACCTCAACAAAACCATGCCGCCTCCTCCAGGAACACAGCTGCTTAACTTGCAAACCTTCTCCACCTCGACTAGCTTTAGGATTTCTACTAAAAGGCAACACGTCCACGCTTTCCCCCGGCTCTCTGGACAGCCTCCTGTTTCATCCTCTCGACACACCAGTGTCTTGGCCCAGCGTCTGGAGTAATGATACCCTCAACACAGAGCCCCGGGCAAGCTCTTGTTCCAGGATTCTCCCCAGATCCAAGCCCCTATCCACTGCCCAAGTTAGCCTCTTTTGCTATTTCCATGATGCTTGCTGGTAATCACAGTAGGCCAAGCATTCTGTCTCTTTGGGTTGGGATTGTTGCATCTGTTAATGAGTACTTAGGTGGGGGAGGAGGAAAGGTTATGTGTCTCAGGATAATCTTTCTGACTTCCCTTCTGCTCCTAACTGACCTTTATTCCCTCCTTCCCTCCCTCCTCTCTTTCTCCCTCCCTCCCTCCCTCCCTCCCTCCCTCCCTCCCTCCCTCCCTCCCTCCCTCCCTCCTTCTCTCTCTCTCTCTCTCTCTCTCTCTCTCTCTCTCTCTCTCTCTCTCTCTCCCTCCCCCCCTCCTGTCACACCCAGCAGTGCTCAGGGCCTACTCCTGGCTCTGTGCTCAGGTATGATACTGATGGATCTTGGGGGTGGGGGACCATATGGGGTGCCCGGGATCCAACTTGGCTGGCTGCATGCAAGGCAAGCACCGTACTCTCTGTACTATCTAATATCCATTCTCTCAACCACTTTATAAACTGGGTTGTCGACAGCAAGCTGGAACCATCATTTTCAGAGGACAAGAAGGAGATGAGGAAGCGGGAGATGAAGAGGACATCCTTCAACCTCTCCAACCCCCCACAGCTCCTTCAGCTTCCCCCCTTCAACCTCAGTCCTCTCTCAATTAAATACCCTGTTGTTGGCCTGTTGCTGACAGCCTAGAGCATTTGGGGCAACTTCACTTCCTGGAGTTTGTTTTATAAAACAGCTTTCCTGTGCACTTTGATTAGATGTATTTATATGAGGCATACATCTCCTCTCTGTGATGGAAAACTTGTTGTTGGAGTGACCCTTGAAGTCTCCTTTCCAGAGAATCCTGGCGCTCCCCCACTGTCCATTTTTGCAATGGACAGAAATGGGTCTTGCAGGTGACACAGAGATGGACAGACTTAATTTTGCTGTGGGGCAGAGGTGAGAGCTCATCCTAATAGTCTTCATCTGACTTTATTTCACCCACCGGAGTCAGAACAGCCCAGACCCAGCAATTGCAGGCTTTTTCCTGGTGTCAGCTCTGCTGCTCACCAACCTACTGCATCCTCGCACTGCCCGCAGGCTTTCTGTGCATAATACTTTCATTTTTAGGATGGGGAGAAGATAGACTGGGAATATGTCTCAGTGGTAGAGCACTTGCACTTACCTTGCATGTGTAAGGCCCCGGATTCAGTCCTCAGTGCTTTGACAAAAAAGTAACTGCACGGAAGAATGAGGAGCAGTTAGCTGAGTGCTAAGGGTTTTTTTCCCCCCCTGCTTGAAATGTGTAATAAAATAATTGAGCCTGAGCCATGCCTCCTCAAAAGAGGAGTGGAATTGTAACTAAAGAAGAACTAAAAGAGCGGTGATGGAAGGCACTGAATCTTCTGGACAAAGCTCCTTTGAACACAGCTGAGGACATGCCCGCCTCCTCTAAACTGAGTCAGAGGTGCTAAGCCGGGCAGCCAGACCCAGTGGAAGAGTTGAGGGGGCTGATGTCTTCCTGGGCACCCACGCCAGGGTCCAAACTCAGCTGCTGCTCTGTGTTGCTGCAGAGGATATGGATCCACACCCTTTTCCACTCTCTTCCACATGGGGATTGGGAATCAAGAGCCAAGGGCCTGGGGCCATGGCTGTCTGCCTGTGTAAGGCCCTCAGTTCAATCTCTGGCACTGAAAATGAACAAAAAAGCATAAAGAGCCAGATGTCGGCCATACTTCTCAGGCCAGGCGAGGAGTCTTAATCCTTGAACATCTTTCTCTGTGTTTCCACTCTGTTTCTTCTTCTGGTGGGGAAGTGTCTACTAAAGAAGGAGATACATGGGCTGGACCGATAGTACAGCGGGTAGGGAGTTTGCCTTACACTTGGCTGACCCAGGTTCGATTCCCAGCATTCCATATGGTCTCCCTGAGCACTGCCAGGAGTAATTCCTGAGTACAGAGCTAGGAGTAGCCCCTGTGTATCTCCGGGTGCGACCCAAAAAGCGAAAAAAAAAGAAAAGGAGACATGTTTGAATGGTAAAATTAGTAACATCTCTCATGTGTCTGCTAGCACTGTGCTAGAATCATTTTAAAAATAAAGGACGTGGGGCATGGCTATGACTCAAGTGGTAGAGCACATGCCCAGCATATGCAAGTTGGATCTTTGGCACTGCCTGGCCACCCTTGCACTGCTGAGTATAGCCCTAGTGGATGGACCCCCACCATCGCCAGATCTGGGCACCACACAGCTGGGCCTGAGCATCACAAGAAGTGAGCCCTGAGTACAGAGCCAGTAATAAGCCCTGAATGCCACTGGGTGTGTCCCCAAACAAACAGAAGCTTTTCTTCATATGACACATTTAGGAATAGATTCGGATCCTAAGGAACTAGTCAACTTGCCTAAGAACACTCAATAAATAAGGAAGGTCCAGGATCTAAACTCGGGTCTCTGGCCCCAAGTTCCCTCTCTTCTCCTGCTACTTCCTAAGAAGGACACATTTTCTTTGCAAATAGAGGTCAGGACACTTGTGGGAACTGTTTGATGTTGACTGTCCATGTAATTCACAAGAAATTCCTGTGGCCTTGAAAACATCCCGGGACGTTTTGCTTTTTTTCTCGACTTAAAGAACTACTAGAACACGTATAATGGTCATGGTGTAGTGGACCCTCAGCAGCATTAAGTCCTTTCATGGGTTGGTGCAACTGCCACCACTGTCTAAAAAGTTTTATCCCTGGAGTATAATGGTATATGGTATAATAGTTTTATCCCTGGAGTATAATGGTATAATGGTCGTATAATGGTCGTGGTGTAGTTTTATCCCTGGAGTCTTTGACTAGCCCCTTCCTTGGACATCTGCCTTTGACTTATCACTGGGTTTCCCATCAGGTCATCCAGGTTGATGTTGCTTACCTGTCCAGTGTTCCTCTTACTCTCATCCATTAGAGGCCAGCTGAGAATTCTTTCTGCAGTGGTTGGCTCTCGACTTTTACTAAAAGGGGCATCTCTGAACCAGCAAGAACCAGGCTTCCCTTTGTTGGGGACAGGTCAGTTGGGTCAGGAGAGATTCTGGGGGACATTGAGACCTGCCTCAGCTGATGGAGAGCAGAAGTATTTTATCTTCATTTGCAGGAATCCTGCTGACAGATGAGCTGAGTTGCTCACAAGGGCCCTAGAAAGAGCTGCTTTATGCCCTCCAAGGGGATGATTTGGCATTTATGGCTCCAAAGAAGTCGTTTCTGAGATCAGCTGTGGGTTTTTATTTCTCTCGCGATCTGTTTAAACATCATTTTCTGTACCTCACTGTCATTGGTGGCCAGATCTGGCCCCAGATAAAATATGACTATAGCAACACACTGTTCTGTCCAAGCTATTTCTCTATCCTGCTAGATGGGTGGCATTCAGGTCCCTGGCTGGAGGGTGCTTAGGAAAACTATGAAAGGAAGTGTCTTGTATAAAATTCTCAGTTCATGTGAATTTCTGTTTCTTTAAGAACAAAATAATTACTTTTTAATCTTTTTTTATTTGAGTGTGGGATACAATCATCATGTGCTTCCTTCCCAAAGCATCTGGAGGAAGAGATTCAGGAAGTAGATAAAAAAAAGTATTTGCCTCCCCTTGTAAGGGACCACAACAGTTCTAGGACATCTGTCGTGTTCATTACGGCCCCCTTTCTATGTTGGGATGAGAGGGTATAAGGTGCTTTTTTTGCATGTGACCTTCCTGGTTTGATCCTTGAGCACTACCAGGAATGATTCCCTGAGTATGAGCCAGAAGTAAACCCTGAGCACTACCGAGTATGGCCCCTAAACTAGACAAACAGGAAAACGTTCCATGCATTAAAATCCCAGCAGGATGCCTTACCTACTGTTTACACATGCTCCTGGGTCCATAGAGATCATGGGATGATGCTCCAAACCCAGGTCTACACCCGCAGTGCTGTGTGGGAGCAATGTGGTGCCAGGGATCAAACTCACCTTGCACATGCTAAGAACATGCTCTACCACTTGAGCTCTTTCCCTCTCTGCTCCCCCTGCACCCCTCTAATAGGCTTCTAAGAATACAGACCTTCAGAACATGGCCATACTCGGGTTGTTGTTGTTGTTTTAAACTTTTTTTATTGAATCACTGTGAGATAGACCTTTACAAACTGTTCATGATTGGATTTCAGTCATACAGTGTTCCAACACCCATCCTTCCACCAGTATACATTTCTCAGCATCAGGATCCCCAGGTTCCCATCCCCACCCCCCGCCTGCCTCTATGAAAGGTGCTTTAGTTCTAACTGGGTTTGTTTTAATGCAGTTGTATTAAATATGACATGGTGCTTAGAAGTGCAAGCCCAGCCTTGAAGTTACTCAGACTTGGGCTTAAAATCTGACCATTGTTCTTCATTGGGACCTTTGTTAAGTCACTTGATCTTTTCAGTACTTCTAATATGCTGAAGGAATTCCTGACTCCTGGGGCTGTTACGAGGCACTGGGGTAAGATGCCTAGATCCGCTACCAGAAGGTAGGCCTATGGCTGTCAGTGGCTAGTGTAAGACTGGCAGTGATCATGTTTCACAGCCAGCAGGGAGACTGTCTTCTATGTCAGTGGTTGCCAACCCTTTTAGGCCTACTGCTCAGCACCAGTCCAAATACCAATTTGTGGACCTCCAGTTAGCAGCCACCAAGGTAGCACAGTGGTTCCAGCCTCTAAATGCCTGCGAATCAACAGTGGTCCATGGTCCTGTGCTCAAAACTGCTGTTCTAAGAATCTCCTTTGCCTTCTGCATCCACAGTGCTGCAGGGTGTGGACAATTCACTGGTGGGCCTGCACAACCAGAGCTTCGCCCGGGTCATGGAGCAGCGTCTAGCCCAGCTCTTCATGATGTCCCAGCAGCAAGGCCGGAGATTTAAGCGGGCCACCACCTTGGGGAGCTACACTGTGCAGGTGGGTGTGTGCACAGGGATCTTCGAGAAAAGGGACTTACTGCTTGACTAAGCCGGTCATGCTGTCTACAGAGCAGCCTTTATGCTGCAAGCAGAGAAGGCAGCTACCAACACTGTTGGTGGATTTTGGGGGTTGTGTGTCCTAGCCATCAAAAGCATGATGGAGGAGGAGGGCTCAAGACTCCCTCGATGGCCTCACCTCAAGATTAAAAGGAAAGGAGGTTCAGGAACAAGTTCTGTGTATGTGGAAATATCTATTACCCAGAGTTATTAGTACGTGAGAAGAAATTATCAGCCTATTCTGTAGGACCAAGTGCCAGTTCTTGGTGCTTTCATTCCTCTCACTACTTTTACTGTGGTTGGGGATGTACCAATTCATACTGCAGATGTAAGGTTCTGTTCTCTTTATTTATTTCATTTCAATGCACAGAGCCCTCCACGTTCATGATGGACACATGACCACAGACTAGAAGGCTGTAGCAGACACTACTGATGCTTTTGCCTCAGTTCCTTTATCATTTCTATGACTGTTGGTCTCCGATTCTTTATTAAAGGGCAGCTCTTGAAATGTTCCAGAATACACATTGCCCGTGCCAGGGATCGCCTGTAGTGCTGGGGAATTCACCAGTAATGGGGAGGGGAGGGATATAAAACCTCAGCTCTCTTGCCTCTTGGCTAGGAGAATCCTGAAGCTTGTGTTTTAGGTTACTTTCAGAGCTTTCTTCCCAGAATTTAGCTTTTGTTTCCACTGTGGCAAGTGGCAATAATTCACCCTTTCTTAACTCACCCTTCTGTCACTTCCTTGTACTTCCCACATAAACTAAAAGCACAAGTTCTCAGAGCCTACTTTCTGAGGGAACCCAACAAATAGAGTAACCATTTTCGTAGCAGAATGTCTTCCTAGATTGTCTGTGGGTGGGGGTAAGAGGGTGGGGTGAGAGTGGTAGTGATGGTTTGGACCCAAAAGTACTAAGGGCTACCCTGCTCTGCTCAGGAGTGACCCCTGATGGTGCTTAGGGGACCATAGGTGGTACCTGGGATGCCTGTGTGTAAGGCAAGTGCCTTAACACCATCCAGTTTAAGAGTGGAGCAATCTCTATCCTGTTCCAGCCAATCCACAACCCTAGAATACTACTGATGCTAAGGTAGAGTCCATTTCTAACATTTGCTATGGTAATTTAACAAAGCTCTGTTGAGCAAGATAGCAAATTGCAGAAGTGCTGTTGGTTGTTGCCTCTAGAATGTGGGCTTCCAAACTGGAGTCTAGCTTACTGCTCCTGGAATGTGAACTCCTGAATAGACCACATCTAGTGTATAACTTAACCCCCCCTACACACACACACACACACACACACACACACACACACACACACACCAGTTATTCTAAGAGGAAGCATTTGAAAGGAAATTGCAGACATTACCACAATCTATCTATAAACCATGCTCCTAGGTCTTCTAGAATATTCCTCCCTTCCTGAAACAGCATGGTGCCCTCGAGGTGATTTCAGGTCCCTGTGTCACAGCGGGTGATTTTGATCTCTGTCATATTGGATGTTGCTTTGGGTTTCTAAGACTTTCAGGTCTGTGACAGCTAAAGTGATGGTGAAGTTCTTGTGACAGGTTTGTGATTTCCTCCCTATGGGGTCCTTGTGAACCCTGAAATACATGCCTATTTAGATAACAAGAAGAAAGTTGTTGGCACTGAGGACAATGAAATGTGTTCTGCCTCAGCTGAAGGATCCATCCTATAATCTTGGTGTTCTTTGTAAATCTAAGGAACATACCACATCTACCTGTCCTAAAGTGCCCATTAAGATGTTCTCTCCCTCATTTCTTGAGTACTCAGTGTGCATAACCCCTTTCATTGCTTGAAAGTAAATGAAGCAAATAGGAACTTATTTCTGCAAACCTCTAATTCCAGAGGTTGTAGATCATATTCTAACATCACCCTTTAAGAACTCTTACTAAGAGCAATTCACTATTACATAGCATTTAAATGGAGTTGTTAGTTGGATGCTCGTTCACCTTCTGCCTGTTTGTACTAACACTATTATTTCCTCCCTATTTCCTCTTCTACAATGGGAAGGAATAATATGCCCAAGTCCCCTAAATAAAATTTATCCCACAGTTTACATCATATTTCTACCCAGAGGACTTTTTCTGTACCCAGTTTAAAAAAGGTGAGCCACCCTCATGACTGTGGAAATTTAGGCGTCTAGAATTTAAAGTTATTTTTCTAGTGGCTGTATTTGTAACATTGGCTTCAAAGATAAATATATGTGACCAATAAACATGTAAAAAAATTAGACTCCATTTGTCATCAGCATAAAGCAAGTTTTCACCATCACAAGATACCATTTTCACCTGCCCTAGGTAGTAAAATGTAGAGAAATGACTCCTTTCAACACATAGTTATGACCAGATGGGTGACGGGTGAGTGTTAGACCAATCCTTATAGATTACTTATAAACTTACTTTCCAAAAAAATTTTTTGAGGAGTGAGAGCCCAACACTAATGAGGGAAGGGTAACTGCAATGTTTCTCAGTCAGTGTTCAGAAAACAATCCTGTAGGGGACTGTGAGGCAAAGAAGTTCTCTGACCAAGTCTGTATGGGCAAGGCTGGCTGCATCCTGGACTCCTTCAGGGATGTCAGTATTCCTAAAGCTCAACCTGAAGATCTGCCTGAAGAAGTCATAATTTTGTTTAGCATGCTGGTTTTCAAATATAAATGTCAACAAGACCTTGTTTTTAATTCTACTTTCCTCTCCTTAACATTTTATTATGAACATTTTTTTGTTGTCTTTTTGGGTCACGCCCAGTAATGCTCAGGGGTTTCTCCTTGTCTCTGCACTCAGAAATTACTCCTGGCAGTGCTCGAGGAACCAAATGCGATGCCAGAGATCAAATTTGATCAGCCGTGTGCAAGGCAAACCCTCCCTGCTGCACTATCGTTCCACCCGTATTGAACATTTTTAAACTCACAGAAAAGTTGAAAATTTTATACAATAAGCTCCCATATACCTATTATCTAGATAAAATAAAGATTTATATAGGAAATTTGGAAATATACCTAACTCTTAGAAAAAAGAGAGAGGCAAAGCTCTAAAACACCCCAAATATGGCTAGGAGTGATCCCTGAGTGCAGAACCAGAAGTAAGCCCTGAGCACTACAGGATGTGGCACCAACCCCCCCCCCTCCACAAAAGGCTGTATTATGTTATACTTTATCCTTGATAAAACATATAATTTCTATAACATAAACTAATATAGAAATACCATAGAACATTGTAGAAATTCTTATAACTGGGTTCCTATAATATTTTCTCTTGTATAAAGCTTGTTTGACTCAATATGGTATTTTTAAGATTCACCCTTGTTGTTTTAATTCATTAGTTTGTTTCTGTTGATTGCTGAAAAAAAATCTCTTGTGTGAATATACATAGTTCATTTATTCATTTTTTCCATCCATTCTGTTGATTGACTCTAACTTCTTCCAGTTGTTTGATATTATAAATAAAGCTGCTATGAATATTCTCCTATAAATATGCTTTTATTTCTTTTGAATATGTAGAAGTGAAATTGCTGAGTCATAGGATTTGTGTGTGTTAGTTCTATGAGAAACTATACTTTTCCAAAGTGGTCCATTTACATTCTCTACCAAGCTCATATTGAATTTTAATTATTCCACATCCTCTCTTACGCTCATCACAATGTATGTCCTCATCCTTTTAGTCATTGTAATGGGCATCTCATGGTTTTAATTTTAGGTTACCCTATCGAGAAATTTTGTATACTTACTAACTAGATATTTTCCTTCTGAAGTGTCTTGTCAGTTTCTTTAAAATCACTTTTTATTGGGTTGTAGTAATATCTATTTCTGTTTTCATATGACACACATTCAAAAGAGTGTAAAAATACATAAAGTTTAAAGATTATTAATAAAAAGGATCCATTAACTGAAAAACTTTACCCCAGAAATCTTTTCTCTCTCTTTTCTGATTATGTGTGCTCGCTCCCTTTCTAAGAGTTGGGTATATTTCCAAACTTTCTATTTAATCATGCCTTTATTTGATGCATAGGTTTTTCTTTTATTATTTTGCCATGTCTGTATCTGGTAAATAGTACATTATTTTATTTTTGTTTTAAATTAAAAAAAATTTTAACTTTATTTAAACATCGTGGTTTATGGCTTATTTGTTTGATTATTATAAACAAAGTTGTTTATAATACAGTTGTTACGAGCATTCAGTGTCCAAACATCAATCCCACCACCAATGTGACCTTCCCTACACAATTGTCCCCAGTTTTCCACCCCAGCCTGACCCCTTAGTTTTTTGTGTTGTTATTTTGGGGCCACATCTGGAGGTGCTCTGGGCTTACTCCTGACTCTGTGCTCGTGGATCACTCCTGGCAGGCTCTGGGGACCTTATGGACTTCCAGGGATTGAACCCGTGGGTCAGCTATGTGCAAGGGGAGCACCCTACCCACTGAGCAATCATTCTGGTCCCTTGAATTTATATTTTTACTTGGTCTTTTTTTTTTTTTTTGCTCTATGTCAGGCTTAAAAACAAATATTGACACAAATAACTATAGTTCATGGCCTTTTACTACTCTAATATTTCAGTATGTTAGGACTCACTTGATTTTCAGATTTTTTTGTTAACTCATTCGAATTTTCAGTTTTTTTGTTATTTGAATAAGGCCACTATGAACACTTTAATAATATCATTTTTATCCTATATAGGGGCTGGAGCGATAGCACAGCGGTAGGGCGTTCGCCTTACAAGCGGCCAACATGGCTGACCCGAGTTCGATTCCTCCGCCCCTCTTGGAGAGCCTGGCAAGCTACCGAGAGTATTCGATATGCCAAACACAGTAACAACAAAGTCTCCAATGGAGACGTTACTGGGCCCGCTCGAGCAAATCGACGATCAACGGGAGGGCCTTTACTTTACTTTTTACTTATCCTATATAATATTTTTATCTATGAAAATTAATAATATATACTTTGGGGAAACTATACTATATATTTTACTATCGATAATGTTTATAAATTATGACAATAAATATTTGTAGCTTCCTAAATATTAAAAATAAAGGATTAGTTATGTTTATGAGGCATATCTCATAATGCCATGTAGAAATTAGCATATACTTTAGGATTAATGTTGGAAGATATGAGAAAATAACAAGATATAAATGCTACATGTGAGGATGAGGAAAAATCTTATAAAATAATAAAAGGTTTATATGAAAAAGAGCAAAGAATAGAAACCAAATATTCTGAAATGATAATAGCAATTTATTTGTGGTAAAGGGATTTCTTTATTTTGCTTTATTTTGTCATTTTTTTCCCTCCTTTTCTTTTTGGGTCACACCTAGCAGTGCTCAGAGGTTGCCTTCAACCATTTAGGGCCTGAGATAGAACCTAGGCTTACTGAATACAAAGCATGTGCTCGGATCCTTGAACTCTCTTTAGACCTTAAGTCATCTCTTTTTGTTTTGTTTTTCTTTGTTTTGGTCACACCCATTGTCCTCTGGGATTACTTCTGGTTCAGCACTCAGGGATCACTCCTGGTGGTGCTCAGGGTACCATACTGGATATTAGGGAATGAACCTGGGTTGATTGTGTGAATGGCAAACACTTTACCAACTGTACTATCTCTCTGGCCTCCCTTAGATCATTTCTTTTTGTTTGTTTTTATTTTGGGGCCACACCCTGAGATGCTCAGGGATTACTCCTGGCTCTGTGCTCAGGAATCACTCCTGTCAGCATCTCAAGGGGACTATATGGGGTTCTAGGAACTGAACCAAGCGGGGTGCATGTAAGGCAAGTGCCCTACCTGCCGTACTGTCTCTCAACCCCTCCATAATGTTATTTCTTGATGATTTTTGGTACCATGAGTAAAATCAACAAAGGTTATTTTGGGAAAAGAACTTTGATTTTCCATGTATTGCTTTGTTCTGAGATGGTTTGAATTGCAGATGCTTAAGTTCATTGTTTTCCGTTTTTTTTTTTTCTGTCTGACAATTTGAAATTAGACATCTTGTGGCGAATAACCCACATGCCCTGAATTAATGTGAGGGCCTATTTTCAAATGAGGCCAGAGTTCCCTAGAGGCCAGAAAACATCTCTTCCTCAGCCTTTTTGTCTCCATCCTCAAAGGGTTCTTCCCAGATATTCAAATCCTTTTCTCCTCCTGTTTCTTGGGAGTGTTGGTGACAGAAAAATATACAGAAATTGTATAAGTTTTATAAAATATACAGAAGCCTGAAATAGTCTTTGTGGATCCAAGGAAAGCTTCGACACAGAGAGAGCCATCATTGAGGTGAGAGCAGGATTGATGTAAGATGTAAATACTGTTTCTCTTTTTCTGAAAGATGGTCAAGATGCAGCGGGTACCAGGACCCAAGGACCCAGCAGAGCTCACTTACTACACCCTGTACAACGGGAAGCCACTGTTGGGCACTGCAGCTGCCAAGATCCTCAGCACCATTGACTCCCAGAGAATGGCGCTCACCCTCCATCACGTTGTCCTTCTGCAAGCTGACCGTAAGGGGCTGTCTTTCCATTTGCTATTTTTAATCCCATTAAATGTTTCCTATAATTCAATGTGATTCCCAAAAACCATGACAATGGCCCCAAAGCTAAATGTATTTTTTCTTCTAGAAGGTTCTTAAATCAACTGTTTTCTGTGTTGCTTGAAGCAGTGAGTTGGGGCATATGTTTTAACGCTTAGATTTAGAATGATATTTTATCCTTAAGTCATACTCCACTCCTCTTCCTGATATAGTTTAGCAGACAGCTGGAGAAATCTCCATACCTAAAGATTATATTTGTCAGCTATAAACTGAAAGATAATGTGAGTTAATAAGCATTGATGGAATCCTGTATGTGCTCCGTATTAGAGGACATAAAGCAGACGTGACCTGGGCCTAACAACGTGGCTCAACTGGTAAAGCACATGCTTTGCCTATGCAAATCCCTGAGTTCAGGCCTCAGCACAGCTTGGCTCAGTAACCAAAACCAGAAAGCAAATAAACAGGAGTAGGTAAAATCTGGTCCATTCCCTTAAGGAACCCAGAGGCATTAATGGAGATAGAAAAGAATAGACTTTGGGAAAGTGCTTTGAGGAGGCAGTAGATACAGGGTCAGCTGAGTGAGAATGCTCTAAAGAGGCATCAAGAAACAATGGACAGCAAATAGATAATAAAAATACGAACTGCTTTGGCTAGAGCTATAGTACCGCAGTTAGGGCATTTGCCTTGAGTTCACGGCCCACTTGGGTTCAGTCCCAGCATTCCATATGGCCCCCTCCACCTCTAAGCCTACTGGGTTGATTCCTGAGCACAGTGCCAAGAGCAAACCCTGAGCTCTGCCAGGTGTAGCCTCCAAACCAAACACAAACAACAACAAAAGCCTTTTTGATGCCCATGGTTTGCAATAGTACTCTTTGCTGTATGTAGATTTTTCTCACTTATTCATCTCCAAGTTAAGATGAGTCCACATATCAGAATTGGCACTAGGTGGCCAAGATAGGATTCTGGATCAGTCTTCAAGTATGTGTCTTTTGATTGTTTCATGCTAAGAATTCCAGCAGAAAGGGTGGAAGCATTCTAGGAGGTTACTAGTAGCATGGGCAAAACGCAGATAAACAAACAGTACGAAGTATGGAATGAGAAGTTCTCATTGCCTGTGGTATTGAAAAGTTGGGAGGCATTGATGGTATTGATGGAATAAGGAAGACTTTTGGAAGGCAGGACAAATAAATTGTTGGGGGTATGATCTGCTGCAAGGAGCTATTGAAGATTTCTGAACAGGGACAAATATTATTGGAACGTGCCTTTTATGAAGGGAAGTTCATTTACCAGCAATGACAAGGATGGGAAGAAGCAGGAATGGTAAGGAGGCTGTGTGGTGGTTTGCTCAGGTATTAGAGACCTAAATAAGAGCTGAAAGACAGGTGGGGGTGGGGTTGTGGCCCCGGGGAAGATCACATGCTTATCAGTGCAAAGCCTGGGTTCAATCCTTGGCACCATATGGCCCCAGAGTACTGCTAGAAGTGGATCAGGATTCCTAAGTACTGCTTTCACAACAGTTAAAAAAGGAAAAGAAATTGAGTAAATGGAGCTGGAGGTGATCAAGGTGGGAAGGTGGGAGATTGTGTGGTAGAAATGTTAGGGTTGGGCCAGAGCCGTAGTACGGTGGATAGGGCTTTTGCCTTGAACACGGCCTACCTGGGTTCGATCCCCGGCATCCATATAGTCCCCGGAGCACTGCCAGGAGTAACTCCTGAGTGCAGAGCCAGGACGAACCCCTAAGCATCGCCGGATGTGACCCATGCTGCTTTAGAAACTGACAGAGATCATGGTTTTCCTCTCCGACTTCCCCTCCCTTTATCCGTTTTTGAATGTGGCTTCCAAATGATGAGCCGGCCTGCAGGTTATGGCTTTCATATTTGCTGGTCTACACAGACACACCTGTGCCTAGAAATGGTTATTCTCCGCCACCTGTCTGAAACACCATTAATTTCCTTCCTTTTGCTTCTCTCCTCCCTGCTCCATGGTCTTTGATTCCACCTCTGGTTAGGCTAACTACTTGCTTCACTGGCTTTGCCGCATCTTTTTAAATGGGGGTTCCCCGGGGTTCCTTTCTCAGCACTTTCTCAGAACACCCAGGGGCATTCCCAGCTCTGGCTTAACTGGATAACATAAGGCAGCTCTGGTTCCTTTGTGGACCTTCTTGTATGAAGTTTTGCATGCTGAAGGATCACAAAGGCTACAGAAAGTTAAAATAAACAAATAATTAAAAGGCTGTCACTCATACCATTCACATCTCAAGACTGAATTTTATCTGTTTCGAAAATGAGTTTCTCTCGCTCCACAGAAGTAACACCATGGCAGTCAATTTTGTGTTTAGAAATGTATTGGTAACAGGGATATTTTAATGATTTTCAGAGATGAAGCATTTTTTCAAGAATACTTCTGCATTGATGCTTCAAATATTTATTTTCAAACTTGAAATATAGATGTGAATGGTGTGTTAGAAAGAAATGCATTGAGAGAACACGTGTGAAAATCATTGCAGGCGTGGTGAAAGGTGATGGTCTTGGAGGGGAGACTCCTGCTGCAAAGAGGAAGTGGCTACCTGGGGCTAGAGTGGGGAAGGGGGGATGGAATCAATTGCAAGTTTGGTTTCCAACCAGAGGGGTTCTATTAATATTAAATGTCTACTAGAGTTTCACACGGCAGAGCTTGCCAAGCTACTCGTGGCATATTCAATATGCCAGAACAGTAACAATAACAGGTCTTAGTCTCCTGATCCTGAAAGAGCCTCCAATACAGCAGCATTGGGAAAGACAAGTAAGGAGAAGCTGCTAAAATCTCAGGGCTGGGGCGAATGGAGACATTACTGGCGCCCGCTCGAGTAAATCAATGAACAATAGGATGACAGTGATACTATATTTTCAAGCAGAACTTAGGAGATATATATGCATTCATTCCTTCAACAAAGTCTCTTTGCATACCTTTTATTCACCTTGCACTGTGCCATGCACTGGAGACAGAGGAATGAAAGAAACTGCCAACCTCCCCTCTGCTTCTGGGCTCCCTTTCTTGAGCAGTTGGGTGTCAAATGAACAAAATAAATGACATGTTAGATGCTCTTAAGTGCTGTGGAGAAAAATTAACAAGGAAGGGTCAAGGGATGTCAAGACGATGATAGTTATGATTTTAAATTGTTGGGAGGTCAAGAAGAGGAGCATTGAGGAAGTAACCTTTGAGTAAGTATCTAAGGACATTAAGGACAAGGTTCTAGGCAGGGGGATGGCAGAACCCATCAAGGAGGCACTGATGGAGCCGCAATGAAGTCAGGAGTTCTGAGGAGGGAACACAACAGTCTCAGGCACCTGATCCTGCTTGGTGGGATATGAGACCAGGTTGCTTTGAGCAGGGGAACAACATGGACTGAGCAGCTGCCACTGACTGCACCCTGGGGGACCCTCCCTCATATCTACTCATACCAGCCATGAACTATGATGTTTGACAGTCTCACAAGTGAATTCAAGGAGTCGGAGGGATAGTATACAGGGAAAGGCACTTGCTTTGCACTTCACCAACCCTGGTTCTGTGCCTGGCACCACATATGGTAGATCCTGAGCACCACTAGGTGGTACCTCTCAGTAATCAGGAATAGCCCCTCGGTGTGTCCCAGCTCCCCTCCCACCCACCCAACTCCATACCCGATTAAAGTGAATTAGAAACGTTTTTATTAAAAATTATCAATATAGTTTCATATTTTCTTTTTTATTATTTTTTAATTAATTAATTTATTTTGAATACCCATCCCTCCACCAGTGACCATTTCCCACCACCATGGATCCCAGTGTCCCTCCCACCCCCCCATCCCACCCTGCCTCTGTGGCAGGGCATTCCCTTTTGTTCTCTCTCTCTCCTATTGGTTGTTGTGGTTTGTGTAAGAGTTAAGCCTGATTTTCAGGGAGAAATATTGGATGATTTACTTTCCATTGATCACTTTGTATATAGGGAGATGTCACGCGGCCACTTATGCGGCCACGTGGTTTGGAGTAAAGGTCCTGGTTCCCGCATACTCGAGCTATGCTTGTAGAGGCTCATGGTCACCGGGGCTCCATCTGGAGGAGGCAGGATGCGGCACCTACCCCATCTGGGACTTCCCAGTGATCTCGGCTCTTTTTGGAACCTGGTGCATTCTCCGGGAGCTGCAGAGCCACCCAGCAGCCTTTCTAGAAACATTTTTGAATGGATTCGTTCTCTTTTCAACCTTTGTTCCATATCAGAATAACTTGTTCTGAGTTTAGATTATATGAACCCCTTGACTTTATTCCTTCCTACAAATAATTATGTGTATGCACGTGTGTATTCGTGTGCACACACACACATAAACACACACACACATAAACACACACACTTCCATTTATGCAGTCCATTCCATTTATGTGTTAACTTGAGACTGACCTTAACTGTGAATTTCAGATAAATGACTTTTAATAAAAATGACTCCCTTCCCTGGTGCTCAGCTTGCTTTTCTGCAAATTGGGGATAAGAGTAGTAGGTGAAGAGCTCATCATCTATGTGCCTCTCACACAGGGATGTTCAGAATGTGTCTGCTCTTCCTATTCTTCCTCGACTGGTTTTCCTTCAAATTAAATAGCCATCCATTTCTTGTCACCTCTCTACAGGACTTTGTAGTTTTACATTACTAGGACAATGAATATATTGGGTTTGGATGACTTCAGTTGACCTACTTTTACTATGGCCTTGACTGTTAAATGAATTTATTAATGTGCATAAGACAAATCTATTCTCTTGTCATTATTTAACTAGAAGCCAAGGGATTTGGCATACTGCACCTAGAATGAATATAACCACCAAAACAATAAAGCTAAGAAAAGCAGAAAACATAAAAAGATTTTTCTCTTGCTAATGAATACATATATAAATGCATTATAGGATAACGGTCTGATACTCTATACATTTTTATTAGAATAAAATAGCAAAAGAGACAGATTAATGTCTTTTCACAGAGGCACTAAGCTTTAAAAAACGCTCATGGCATAAAACTCACTTATAAATACTGAATTGCTAAAAGCATCGGCAATTAAATGTTTAGTGTCAACAGAAGCACATTATCTAATGAGCTGTTTTCAGAAGTTAATAAGGTGATTAGTCACCAATTGATAAAAGACCATGGCAAAGCAGTTCTTTTGTACTAATAGTACTCCAGATCCAAGAGCTTCCTAATGTGAAGTAGAACTTGGTGCACAAAGTATGGTTGAAGTCAACTGGTAGTTGAAGTTAGAAAAAAAGAAATGGGTAAGCTCTTCTAAGGGCTCACCAATATTGCAGTTCCTATTCTCCTAGAGTCTTTTTTAAATTCCAGGCTTTGGTCCTGAGCTTTGAGACTGTAGTAACACTCATTGCTCAGAAGCATTAGTAATGCCAACTCATGCTCACTCATGGGATATTGGCCTGAGCAACTACAAGAAAAGAGGTGTCATTTTCATTTGCTAGATGGAAGACAATCACCGAATAACTTGGAGAGGTGCTTGAGAATTGGGTTGTGGACATATTAAATTTGTGATATTTCCTAAGTATCCAGTTGGAAATTTGAGTCAAAAGTTGCATATAGGAATATAGAGTTCAGTGTAAAGTTCCAGGTTGAAAATACATAACTGAACATCTTTATAGCACAGATGATGCTTAAAGCCAGAGGTCTAGGAGATGATCTGGGAAGTGGAGGAAGAGGTCTGGGGTGCTGAGAACAGACATTATCCCCTGGCTGCAGCATCTTCTAGGATAGCCCCAGCACTCAGCCAGATTTCCCAGCCAGGTTTCCTAGCTAGAACAAACTTTTGCCTGCTTTTTATCTGTTTTCGGATTTCTTGCAGACCCCACTCCGTTCCAAGAACTCTATTCCTAAGGGAAATTGTTCTTAGGTTACTGTTTTTATTCTGTCCTCTTTTAAGAACATACTGCCCATGTTGATTAGGTTGAAGTGTCTTCTAAGTTTCCTTAATAGTGATCATGGGCTAATAACCCCTGTGTGTGTGAGTTGGTTTAAGGAATGCAGCATCTCCAAAGGCCATCGTCAAGTCAGGGGACCTGTGTGAGATGTCCCCGGAGTTTTACTGTGACTCCCTAGGCTCTGCATTTCTAATCTGAAGGGAGCAGACAGTAACCTTACTCTTTTCTACCTTATTCATTTCTTTTTGTTACAAAAAAATCACAAAAATTTTGAAGGAAAATCAATACAATTTTTTAAAAATAAATAAACTGATTCTGGGAAAGACTCATCCATCTCACGTTAACACCTTTCCTTTTTTTATGTTTACCGAACCCAACCTAGCAAAAAACTGAAAGAATCACACATGAATACCCATGTTCCAACTATCTAGCTTCCATGATGACCATTTTACTGTACTTTCCATAACCACCCATCTGTTCATCTTTCCAACTATCAATGAATGTATATATATAGATATATATATACATTTTTAAATGCATTTTAATGTTGGAAACATTGTAGATTTTAGCTCTAAATGTTGGCATAATATTGGTTACAATATTTGCTCTTTTTAAAAATATTCTTTGTTTGTTTTTGCCACACCCAGTGATGCTCAGAGCTTACTGCTGACTCTGTGCTCATCGGGTATCATTTCTGACAGGCTTGCAAGGCATTGAACCCAAGATGCAAGGCAAGCACCCTATCCACTGTGCCATCACTCTAGCATCAATTGCCTGCAATATTGTTTATGGTGATTTAATTTAAAATTTACTTTAGAGAAAATAAAAAGACAGAGTTATGACCCAAATCCTAGCAAGTAGACCATTGTTTCATAACCTTTTTATGACTGTGACCCTCCTGGCCTTATTTCTTTTCTGGGACACCCAAATCCTACCAATTGGTACCCTCGTCTTGTGCCATGGCCACCCATTATGTGATTTTTACCTGTGGCTTTCCTTGAAATATCCTGGGACCCCAACGGGTCCAATGGTTCTGATTGAGAAACCCTGTTCTCTAGCATGATTATAGCCCTACTGCCCTTTGTAGGTTCATTCATCTCATCTCCCACCCACCTGGAGCTTATAGTTCTCGTAGCATATAAGTCCTTCTGACAATCACATAGGTTACTCTTTTCTCTGGCTCTAACCTTTTCAATGAGACCAATGGGGATTTCCAAGTTTCTCATCTGGTATTGGAGTGGAGGTGCGCATCCACTCAGCTACTTTTATTCATTCATCACTTTGCTACAATAGATAGAGTCTGTCTCTCTCTGACCAATACTTCGTGACTCCAACACCAACCTCATCCTCAGACTCTCCCCCTTCTTTTCTTCTCATTTGACTCTTGGGCCTCTCCAGGGGGGAAATTGATACCAACATTTTCCTGTTCCTCTTCTTAGTAAGAGTGAAGGCTTACAATTGTTGCACATCTGCTAGGATTCACAACAAAGCACCCCATGAACTCGTATCTGTTGTCTCACAAGATGATGTCCTGCTCCTTACAGAGGAGTAAACTGAGGCCCAGCGATCTGGAGTCATTTGTACAGAGCAAGAGCCTTTCTCTTTCAGCACCTAACTTGAGACTTTTGAGGTGTGTGGCGGGGATGGGGTGAGGGTGTGTGTGTGTGTGTGTGTGTGTGTGTGTGTGTGTGTGTGTGTGGTGTGGAGGTAATCCAGGCGACTCTCCCTATTTCCTATCACCTACTTCCTGCTGCCTCTTTCCCACAGCGGTGGTGAAGAACCCACCCAACAACCTGTGGATCATCGCCGCAGTGCTGGCACCCATCGCTGTGGTCACAGTCATCATCATCATCATCACTGCTGTGCTCTGCCGGAAGAACAAGAATGACTTCAAACCAGACACCATGATGAACCTGCCACAGAGAGCAAAGGTTGGCACAACGGGGTTGGGAGGGTGGTGTCTGAGGCTTGGGGCCTCAATATCCCTTTCCCCACTCTTTTTTTTTGGGGGGGTCACACCCTGTAATGCACAGGGATTACTCTTGGCTTTGCACTCAGCAGTTACTCCTGGCAGTGCTCGGGGGACCATATGAGATGCTGGGAATCGAACCTGGGTCAGCTGCGTACAAGGCAAACTTCCTTCCTGCTGTGCTATTGCTCCAGCCTCAAGCCTTTCCCCATTCTTGAGACCTTTGCAAATGTCTTCAGAAGCATCGTCACCTCATTTTGAAGGAGAGCCTCCTTATCTCCTTCCTCCACTTTTTTCTTTCCTCAAATTAAAAAAGACCAGGGAGCTAGCTCAAGAGGCTGGAATACATACCTTGTTTGTGCAAGACCTCAAGTTTAATCCCAGGAACCTCATAGCCCCTCCAGCAAGTACCTTGCATGTGCAAGACCCTAAACTTGATCCCACGTCTCCATAACCCTTCCAGCATCACTGGGTATGGCACTTATGGCCCTCAGCACCCCTGGGCCTGAGCACAACTCTCTGGCCTGTACTATAGGATAGGTAGACATCCCCCAAAATACGACAAAATATGCCCATCACCAAATTTACCAACTTTTTTTGAAGCTTAGAATACCAAGTTTCCAGGTCTATTTGGGCAGTTGTGTTCTTTTTGTTGTGTAATTGGGGCCTGCTTTCTTGCTGCTCATGTGTAGCTACAAGCACCTCCATATGCCTTACCTATAGCAACTTACCTAATCCTCACTGCAGCCCTTTGGGAAAAAAATGGTTATGTTCTCAAAGAGGAAATGGATGCACATGAACAAGAAGCTAGCTAGATCAGAAAGGGCCTGGGGGAGAGGGGTGGCCCTTTCCAGATCCACAGTTTTTATCAGAACTGATGAAGACCTGGGTCTCTTGCCTCCTAACCCTGAACTTGGGGACCACATGAGTCCCTTGAAATTTCCCTTCTTCATGTCCTTCTTCCTTCTCTGAGTGGTTTGTTTTCCAAGGCTGCCTTCATAAGCAGGACCAGAGTCCTGGCTGGCTGGTCTCTAACTCCAGTTTGGGCGGGGGTGGGGGGTGGGGGGGGGAGTGTCTGTTGCCTCTCTACAGTTGCACATGTCTGCCTCAGCTTCTGGTACTTGAAGACGGATCACCAGAGGCTGATTTTCCAGTCTCACGGCCTCCTCCTGACATTCCACAAAGGAATCACTGGTACTGCTCGACAGTGTTCCAATGCCTGACAAGTGTCTGGTCTCTCGAGGTCTCTTGCCTAATATGCTTGTCACAGCAGCCCTGTGAGATAGTTCAGGGCAGCTATTTTTTTTATCATCTTTATTTTACTGCTAAAATCATAGAGGAGAAAAATATACAGGATCTGGAGCTGGAGAGGTAATACAGGAGTTAAGGCATTGCCTTGCATGCAGCCAACCCCAGCTTAATCCCCAGCACCACATAGGGGCCTCTGAGCACCACCAGGAGTGATCTTTGACTACAGAGCCAGGTATAAACCCTGAGCATCATTGGATGTGGTGGCCCAGTTTCTCCCCTCCTCACCCCCAAGAAAACCCCATAAACAAACAAAAATTCAGAACTGGTTCAAAATCGCATCATAAGTAGCATGTCTCAGGCCCATCAGTTTGAGTCTTTGGGTTCTTTCTACCTTACACACCTCTCTGAACATCTTGTCCAGCTCAGAAAATCTGCACTGTGTCTGCCTGAACAGGAGCAAGATAGCAACTCCCAATAGACTTCCTGTTCATGGGAGCCCTTCAGGAAGTTGGTGCTTGTGGGCATCACATGTGCCTTGCTTTTTCTGCACAACTGTCCCTCGCTTCAGCCAAACAAGTTGACTGGATTTTCTTGTTTTAGCCCCGTTCCCCTGCAGTGGAAGCAACAGCTTAATGACATGTATTGTTTATGGGAGAGCACACCCTGAAGAATGTGGTTCTGTGTCTGTGGCACCGGCTGCCCAGGTGGGCCACAAAGGATGCAGACCTCGAAACTGCACAGTGAACAATGAACCGATTCCAGAATGGGGTTGTTCTTTCTTTTCCATCTAGCTTAGTGACAAGCCTGGCCTTTCAGATGAAATAGTAATAGAATTAAAGCTGAGCTCAGCCAGGAAGGCAAAATAAGCCATCCCGAGGTGGTCAGTGGCATCTTTGTGTTCTAGATGAAACCAGAATTTTACGAATCTGTCCCGGTGAGTGGGCAGCTCACAGTTTCAGCCCACCTATTGGCCTGAAAGCTGTCAAAAGTGGGGCAGATTGTGGGATTTCTCAGCACCTTTCATGTTCTGACCCTTTGCTTTGTGTGTCCCGAGACCCCTGGCTCATGTTGAAATTAAGTGTGTGATCCTAGATAGAATGAATCCACTGTGTGCTGTGGGGCTGCTTGTTTTCTCTCTCAATGAGCCTATGCCATACACTTTCACTTCCCAAGCCCTTTTATCCCAAAATCAGAAGCGTGGACGTGCCTTTTTCTCACTGCAGTCCCTCTGCGGTGGTGACCCAGTGACACTGCAGAGTCTGAGAGAAGAAAGCTGCCTGCATCCCTTCTCACTCTCACCACCGTCTCTCTCTCTCTCTGTCTCTCTCTCTCTGTCTCTCTCTCTCTGTCTCTCTCTCTCTCTCTCTCTCTCTCTCTCTCTCTCTCTCTCTCTGTGTGTGTGTGTGTGTATCTTCAGAATTCACTGAATTCTCAGGGACAAGCATAATGAAAAAGCTAGTATCCTCTGCCAACCCATAGACTAGGAGCACAGGGCTCATTTAGACTACAGGCTGCAGATAGTACAGTAGTTAGGGCGTTTGCCTTACATGCGGCTGACCCAGGTTTGATCCCCAGCATCCCATATGGTTCCCCAAGCACCACCAGGAATAATTCATGAGTGCAGAGCCAGGAGTAACCCCTGAGTGCTGCTGGATGTATTCCCACCTCTCCAGCACCGCACCTCCCCACAAAATAAATAAATAAAATAAAATACAAAGTGCCTAATACTGTTCCCTTCCCTGGAATGCTAAAACAATAGTGGAGGAAGTGGGGAGTAGCCTCCAGTGTAATAGGAAGGCGCTTTCTATCTGTTCACTTTGAAAAGGTAAATTTGGGAGCAGAGAGAAGTGTGACCCCCCCCCCCCCAGAAAAAAAAAGCAAAAACAAAATAGAATATAAACTGCAGAGTTAGAGGGAGTCTGGCAGAGATGCAGCCACAGATGTAGCATGCTAAGAGGAGGTAAGTGCAGCTTTGGTGGGAGCACTCTTTATAGAGAGGGTCCCTGGGGGAAACCCTTAGGCCATTGCCTATGGGTTCTTGCAGGTAGAGTGCTGAGAAACATGTAAACCCAGGAGGGCCAGAAGCCAGACCTTATGTCACTTCCTTCCTTTCATCCGGGTTCACTTCTCACCTTTTAGCAGTGGACTCACAGCTTTTTCCTGCTTGTTTAATCATGGTATTGAAGAGACTGTGGCTCTCTGGAGCAGACCACCTTCAGAGAAAGCAGTTAGGCCCCAACCCAGATACAAGGTAGAGCTTGAAAGACCTGCAGTGCTTGGCATCACCATCTGCTGGGGACACCCTGTCACCCCTAGAGTATCAACTGGTTCCTCTCTCTCACCTGCTCTTTGTTTGGCCTCTTGATATCTCGGTTTTCCCACTTGGGAAAGGGGAGTGATATCAATATTCACTTTAGATGTTGTGAGGATTAAGTGAATTGTGTGAATTTTTTTAAAATCTGAGCTGATATGTTTTATATATGTATACATATGTGTAATATATGATATATAATATATATGTATACTATATATATGTATAATATATTACATATGTCAATATATTTTTAATAAATATATCTGTCACTGTCCTGTCACTCTCCTCCTGTTGTTCATCAATTAGCTCAAGCGGGCCCAGTAACATTGTGAGACTTGTTGTTACTGTTTTTGGCATATCGAATACCTCACGGGTAGCTTGCCAGGCTTTGCCATGCGGGCGAGATACTCTTGGTAGCTTGTCAGGCTCTCCGAGAGGGGCTAAGGAATCAAACTCGGGTTGGCTGTGTGCAAGGCCCTAACCGCTGTGCTATATATTAGTTTGAGGACCACATCTGGTGATGTTCAGTCTTTACTCCTCGCTCTGTGCTAAGAATCACTCCTGGTGGTGCTCAGAGGACCATATTTGGTGCTGGGGATTGAACCTAAGTTGGCTGCATGCAAGGCAAATGCCTACCTGCTATACAATTTTCTGACTCCATAATCAGTATTATAAATAAGTCAGTTTTTAATTATTACATAGGCTTTCTTCTTTTAAAAGATCTGAGAACATGTCTTCCCTTGAAATTAGTGAAGATCATTTTGATGGAATAACCTGACAAGGTCACTGAAGTAACTATAGATTCTTAGTGAAATTGTGTGAATGGTGTCAAGGGTCACTCGTGGGTGTTCAATGGGCAACTAATTAATTTCAGGTGGTTTTTGAGTTGAGCCCTGTGTGTCAGAAGGACTGTATAGAGTCTTTCCCACTTACCTTTGTGGTCTTGGGCAAGTCACTAAACTATTCTGCTTTTGTTTTCTTGCCTGAAAAATGATGACTATGGTGTCTGCTCTGCTACCTCAGGAGGTTGTTGTGAGTGCCAAATGAGGTGTCAGCATTTGCAGAAAGTAAGTGGAGGGTGTGTTATCATTTTCTCTCTGTTATCCCATCATTAACCCAGGCTCCTGAAATATCCAGGAGATGACTTCGCCCCTAAATGAAGGGTGAGTTGGCATAGTAAAAGGGAAGTGAGTGAGGGGAGAGCCAGGGATAGCTTGTCCTCCTCTCAAGGGTCTTGGGGTGTCATGGCTGCCATTGGAGACTCCCACATCCTCCCAAGAGCCAAACCAACTCCGGTAGGAGATGCCCAACCAAGCTGACAGCTGCAAAAGGAAGAGCAGGGTGTAAGAAGGATCATCAAGCAGTGATTGGATGTTCCAAATCTTGGGATCTTAATAACGAGTTCAAATCCTGGCTCCACCATAGACCAGCTGTGTGAATCCAGGTTTGCTACATAACCTCAAAACTTTGGCTCCTTCATCTTTAAACTAGGAAGTGGTAATTACTGTCACCTACTTGAACTGTATTGAGGAAGAAATTACAATTGGTGTAATGTGCTCAAGACTGTCCAGTAATATCAAATGAAGCAGAACCTGAGCTCCTTGAGAAAAGAGGGCCAGTTACTATTTATCCTTACATCTCTAGCACCAAGCTCTAGGCACAAGAACTACAGTTACAGGGGGCTGGAGCGATAGCACAGTGGGTAGGGTGTTTGCTTTGCATGCTGCCGACCCGGGTTTGATTCCCAGCATCCCATCTGGTCCCCTGAGCACTTCCAGAAGTAATTCCTGAGTGCATAAGCCAGGAGAAACCCCTGCGCATCGTCAGGTGTGACCCAAAAAGAAAAAAAAAAAGAACTACAGTTAGAACAAAACTGCACAAGTTAATAGTGGGGAGTGGGGGATGGGTGTGGAGGTATAGCAGAAAATAGCCAATAGAAGATGAGGATGGGCAGGCTAAGATCAGCCAGAATGTGAAGGGCCTGAATTGGCTTGCCAATGAGTTTGGATATTGTGAGACAGTTATTTATTTATTTTTACTTTTTGGGTCATGTCCAGCAATGCTTAGGGTTTATTCCTGGCTCTGTGATGTGGAATCACTCCTAGCTCTGTGCTCAGGAATTACTCTTGGCGGTGCTCAGGGGACCCTATGAGATGCTTAGGATTGAACCCGGGTGGGCTGTGTGCAAGGCAAAAGCCCTCCCTGTTGTACTATCGCTCCAGCCCCTTATGAGACACTTTGAAAGAGGGAGTGACCTGGGCCTGGTACAGTTTTAAGGAGAAAATTTGGGAAATTTGTCGAGGGTGGAAAGAACCGAATGGAAATTACAAAACCAAGAGAGGAAACAATAAAATGGTGGGCCTGGGGGGAAAAAAGACGAGTTTCTAGGAATATCTCAGTTGAATACAATTGGTGGCCTATGGTTATAGGATGAGTGGATAGTGCAGTGTGCTGGGAACAAGATCCAGGCATCGAAGGCACTATTCTGGTTCACATAGTGCCCTGGTGAGAGAGAAAGAAACAAACATGACTTCAGAGATACATTCCCAGTTCCTGGCTTCAAATATCAGAGGCTCCCAGGTGGGTCAAAGTGCGAGGGCCCCCCAAAAGTGGTAATGGTGATGATGCGTCCCAGAGCGAGCCTCCGAGGACACTTATGGAACTCCCCTATGGCAGAGCTACCAATGTCTTGAAGTCTTGTGAGGAAGCTGTGCAGGATTAGCATGAGGACTACACCTGGTTTTGGAACATGACAGTTAAGTGTTGAGACTCTGGCCATACACAGTTCCGGCCATGAGGGCTTTATGTGACCGCCAATCACATCAAGTTCTGATGGAACCTAAGTGGAAGTTGAGTTTCATTGCCAGGTTTTCTTGAAGAGAATCAATGAAGTTCATTTCACCTGGGCTATAAGATATAGCAGTAAAACCAGTGCTATTAAAATGTAACCATTGGTTCCACACTTGCTTTGTGCTTATAGACATTTAGCCTCAAACTGATTAAATTTACTTATTTAATCCACTACTTCATTAAAGTTGCTCATTGAAGTTGAGGGTTGTTAAATATTCCTCAAATGCAGACCTGTTACCCTGTTTGCCCCCTTTTATAGAGGAGGAAGCTGATATGCAGAGAATTTCAGCAGCATATTTTGAGTCTCCTAGCTAGCTAGCAAGTAGCACTGTCAGGATTTGAACCGAGGCTTTACTTTCGGAGCTGCTTTAAGTCTCCCCATTTTCCTGCCTCAAATCTGCATTGTGGTGCTAGGGGGTGTAGGCAGAGTAGAGACATTCCCAGAAACGAATTGAACATGCCTCTTGGGTTATTATTACCCCACTAATAGATGTCTGTGGGGTTTTGCTCACAGCTGGCCTATTCACCGGGGAGTTCAGACTTTGTGTAATAAAAAGCCTTGCTAATTTCTCAGTAATGAATTACAGGAGGGCCAGACTCTTCAGGGAGAGGCGTGGATTAAGGAGTGAGTCCATAAATTTCACTGTATTATTATGAATGATTATACTGTTCACGTGTGTATGCCCCCCCAAGACACACACACATGCACACACATACACAGAGACACATAGACATACATACATACATACATACATACACACACACACACACAGGCACACATTGACTTTCCGTTTTCTGATTTGTTATTTCTTTCCAGAGGGAAAGCTGCTACCTTCATTTTTCAGATGATAAAATTGAGGTTCAGAGTTCAAGTGATTCCCCAAAGTAACACACCTCTTATTGGAAAAAAGCTGTATGAGTGGAGTTAAAGGATGATGGAGATGTCCTAGGTAGAAGTCAGAGCAGGGTCTGTTTAACAGGTCAGTAAAGAGTGTCTGATAACCAGAACCAGTGACTTCAACCCAAGATCTAAAATTCTTTAAAGAAGTTTGCTGTGACCTACATACTTGCAGCTTGTTTGTGCTATTTGCTGTTCTGGGTAAGTCTTACCTGTACCCACTGAGGTTTATGTAGCTTGCTGGGATTAACATGCAATCCAATTTTGCAGGGAGAGAAGTTGTGGTGTTGATTGGCGTTAACTGCGGTGCATCAGGAAGCTGAGCAGAGCCCTGTCTAATCCTGCCTTCTCTGAAAGCTCCCCCTTGGAGTCCCACTTTGCCAGAATCTTGATTGCAAATCTGTTCCCTTTGTAGCCGGTGCAAGGTTTTGATTACGCCAAGCAGCACCTGGGCCAGCAAGGGGCCGATGAAGAAGTGGTCCCGGTGACACAGGAAACGGTGGTGCTCCCCCTCCCTGCAAGAGATGCTCCCACCTCCCAGGAAAGGGACGTCGCCCAAGATGGCAGTACCATCAAGACGGCCAAGTCAACTGAAACCAGAAAGAGGTAGGCCTGGGGCGAGCTGCTTCCCTCAGTAGCAGGGGGAGAAATGGCAAGGGTGAGAGCAGCCAGATCCAAGTATAATCCCACTGTGTTTGTTATAAGTTCCCCTTCGTGCTCATTTGGAATATTTGCAGAGACTCAGGGGAGCAGAGAGCGCCCCACCACTGCTTCTCCCGCTCTCCCTTTTGTGAGACTTCACTCACAGAGCAAACTCAGTGGCAGAGGTGTTTGTTCTTACATTTATTCTGTTTGGCACTTGTGTCAGGCTCCTGTTTTGTTGTTGTTGTTGTTTGTTTGTTTGCTTTACATTAATCTCAAAAGCATTATCTTAGATTTCTTATGTGACATTGATGTGACTTATGATTTTAGTTCAAAACCCAGTTTAGTTTTTCCTATGAACAGAGCACTTTGGCAGGCAAGCTGCAGAAAGGTTAACAGGAAAAAGAGTGTAGAAAGGTTAACAGTGAGTTTCTGACCTCAAGGATCTATGGAAGAGAGGCAGAGAAAGAGCCAGAATACCCAGTATCATCAGGGAGTGTCCAGGGATGAGGGCAGATACAATGAAGAGGAAGAGTTGACTTGTGGGGAGGACAGAAAGTGGAGGGTGAATATGCAAACCAGACTTTGAAGAGTGAGTGGGGGGCCCAGCCATGGGAAGAGATAGAAGTGTCCCGTCCGAACAGCCATGCTCCCTGCATAGTTAGAGTCCCTGGAGTTTAGAGCTCATGGTGGAACAGAGTGATAGATGCAAGAGGTAAGTGGCGGACACAGCAAATAAATGCAGGCTATGGCGGGATCCGGAGAGATGGTACTTGCCTTGCATGTGGCTGGCCCTGGTTCTGTCCCTGGTAGCACCTATTGTTCCTTGAGTACCTCTTGGGGTCACTTCTGAGTATAGAACCAGGAATAGCCCCTGAATGCCTTTAAATGTGGCCCCAAACCAAGGACAAAGGTGTGGAGAGTCAACTTCCAATCCAAGGAATTTGATATTTATTCTCTAGAGCAAAGATTCCCAAACTTATTTGTTCCACCCCTTTACAGAAGAAATTACTCCACAGCAAGCCTCCACTGCCCCAATCACCACCGCTATATCTACCTTCATTTTTAGATAGGATGTATATGAGACACATCTAGCTGTTCTTGGGGCGATGCCTAGCTTTGTTCTTAGGGATTTATCCCCTGCAGAATTCAAGAGACCGTGTGGTCCTAAGGATTGAACCCGAGCCTCCCACATGCATAGAAGGCACTCAGTCCTCCTATGCATTTTCATTTCAGTCCTTTGAACGTCTTTCTACTCCCAAATCTACCTTTTCAAAGTGAACAGATAGAAAGCACCTTCCTATTGCACTAGAGGCTACTTCCCACTTCCTCGATTATTGTTCTAGCATTCCAGGGAAGAGTACACTATTACTCACTTTTTTCTTTTCTTTTCTTTTCTTTTCTTTTCTTTTCTTTTCTTTTTGTGGGGTAGGATGTTGGGAGGGGTGGCAATACATCCAGCAGTACTTAGGCTTCCTCCTGGCTCTCTACTCAGGCTGGGCTTGGATGTCCACATGCAGTGCCAGAGATTAGACCCAGCTCTGCTGCATTGCAAGGCAACCCACTTTGGGAAACACTGCTCTAGAGAATAAAGTGCTTCCAGAAGACAGTGGAGTCCACCTGTGTTCTAGAAACAGGTGGCAGTGTGGATGATAGATAAGAGAAATTAGGCTAGATACCAGGAGACTCCTGTTAACAACATCGCGATCAATAGTCTTATAAGCAGGTGATGGGCTCTATGGAAACCTGTTGCATGGTTAAACCTGCTCTGCCTGCCAACGCCCTTCTCTCTCCCTAGAGACCATGGGGTAGACTACAGGGCCACAGCTTCCTGCCTCTTTTGTTCCTTCATGGCCGTCACCTACAGTGAATGATCCAATGTTTGCTCTTCACCAGGCCCTAGGGAGACAGCAGTGTTCAAGACAGAATTCCTGCTTTCATGGAGCTTGGTCTGGGCGAGGAGGTAGACAGTAAACAATTAGAGAGATGGATGTATTTTTTTTTGTAACGATATCAGGTGGTGATGAGTCTGAGGGAAAAAATAGAAGCCTGGTAAGGGACTGGAGAGTTGGAGGAGGGACATAAAGCCATAAAGCTACTTTGGATAATAAGCCAAGGAAGGTCACTCTGATAAAGTGATGTTTGAAAAAGACCCAGTGGACGTGCCGCACAAGCCTTGAGGCTGTCTGGAAATGTTCCAAGCAGACAGAACAGTGTGTGCAAAGCCCAGGAGGAAGGAATTTTTTGATATGCTTAAAGAAGAGCTAGCAGACTAAGGCGGCTGGCGTGAACTGGGAGGAAGTGACAGCAGATGCATGAGAGAAGCCGTCTGCCATTGATCATGCCAGGCTCGATAGACCAAAGGCAGCAGTTGACATTTTATTGTGAATAAAGATCAGATGACATTGGAAGGTTTTGAGAATGATGGTGACATGGTCGGATTTGAGGGTATGTACAAGCCTCACTCTGGCTGGTGGGGGGGCAAATGAACTGTTGAGAAGAAGGGGGATTTTTTTGGTAGCAGAGGCAACAGGTGGTGGTGGACACCATGGTATGGGATGTGAGAAGTGACTGCATTCTAGAATCCCTTTAGAGGCAGAGCTGACAAGACTTGATAGAATGTTGTGAGGTCTGTGGGTCTTTCTGGGCAGTAAGAAAACAAGCCCCCATATGCAAGCACATCTCATCTCTGATAAAGTCATACTTTCGCCTGCAAAACCAGACAGGTGATCAGTTCCTAAGTTCTTGTGTCAGAAGACTACCCAAAGCTTGCCTCCAGGGAGGTGTCAACACACAAGGACCATTACTGCAACCTCAACCTCACCAGTCAGACTTGAAACATACAGAGAAGCAATAGATGATTTATCTGAGTTGACAGCTTTGCAGTTTTAGCTGTAGTAATTATTCTCATGCTCTTTGTCAAATACAATAAAAGCCTGTTAATAACTTATTTATCACCTATTTAGAGGAAACTGAAAAATGCTCCATGGAAATAAAATAAAGTTAGGGTATTCACATGGCACTGCCAGGAAGAATAAAACTTCTTTTCCATTCATTCATATGGAGTGATTTTAATGGGTAAATATTTAAAAGAAAATAACACACTTTCTAGACAATAGAGAGATGTTCTTGCCAAATAAGAAACTCCACCATAGGGCAACAAATTATGGTTGAAAAGAGATTCCTAAAGTGTAGAACTCTGTCCTGAGGAATGGGGATAAGGAATGGTACCAACACCTGGAACACCAGTCTTCAGCCCTAGAACAGGAGGCAAGAGATCACAGGGTTCAAACTGGGGCAGCAGATGCAGACAAGGCCTTTTCGGTGACCTACTGAAAACTTGGCCATCACAGTGTTGGCGGGCACCATGTTGGATCTCACTCTGCCTGGTAATAAACTCTAAGGGCGAATTCCTGAGGAAAGTGCCACCCAGGAAAATAGCTGAGCTAGCTGGGGGCTGAGGCAATTATCAAAAGTGCTTACTCCTAGCAAACAAACACACTAGCTCCTGCCAGTTCTCATCTGATTTCTAGCAAGCAACCTGTACCTCTCTAGACAGGCAGGACTCTGCAGACTTCTCAAAACACAGCCATTTTGTCAAGGGGCCCCACTGCCTGCTTTATTCTTCTGATCCACAGTCAGCCCAACTTTGATCCTTACTAGTTTCTACTAGCACACTCTGTCATCAGCTTGTTCTGAGGCCTCAACCTCCTCTTAAGCCTGAAATATGTCTCCCAGCAACCTCTGAAAACTGGGGGACAGCAGCAGCCTAGTGACTTCTGAATACAAGCAACTTTGCGAACCCTTGGTCACAGTCCAGCCCCTGGTTGAAACTGGTACAGATCTGCCCCTGGATCAACTTGAACACAAGCTTTTTCTGCCTTTCTCTCGGACCTCCATGAAATACCAGACCTAATGGGGAAATGGAGGAGATAATTCACATCAAGGGATCAAGACAACAGCTTGGAAACAGCTCATACAACAGAGCTATGAAAATTACTTGAAGAAGAATTCAAAGAGACAGTCCTAATGCTGCTAACAGGAAAAACATCAGTGTAACAGAACTTCAACAGAATCATAAAACATAAGAATGTTTGAGGAGAGTAAAAAAAAATCACATCTAAAGAAAATATGTAGCTGCATTAAAAAATACGTTAGAGAGTCTCAGCAGCAGCATGGAAGAAATCGAATATCTAATAGTGAGTTCAAAGATAAAACAGTGTAAAAAGACCTGCAAAAAGATGAAAGAATGAGGAAGCGTTCAGAATAAGAGAAGGAACACATGGAGGGTGCAGGATCCCGGAGGAAAAGAAAAAAGAAAAAACAGGTTCCAAAAAGAGCCGAGAGCACCGGCAAGTTCCAGATGGAGTAGGCGCCGCATCCCGCCTCCCCCAGATGGAACCCTGGTGACCAGAAGCCTCTACAAACACAGCTCGAGTATGCGGGAACGAGGACTTTTTCTCAAAACCGCGCGGCCGCTTACGCAGCCGCGCGACATCTCTCTATATACAAAGTCATCAATGAGAAGTAAACCACCCAATCTTTCTCCCTGAAAATCAGAGTTAAGTTTGGAGCATGGCCACAGCCCGAGAAACACAAGGACTTAATGCAGAAACCAGCAGCTTAGAGCAGAAAAATGAACGGACGATGAGTTAACCCAGGCCATCATTTCTGCCCAGAGGGGAAAGAGTGTTGCCCCATTCGCCCTCTCTTCTCTGGAAAGAAGGATGGCGGCCGCATGGGAGCCTTGTGGACAGCAGGTATGAGCCGGGGGAGTGGGGGCGACTAAAACCTCATGGGAAGGGGGGCGTTCTGGTCCGTCCTTCACGCCCTACCGAGGTCACCAGTTGCCCCCCACGAGCGGCTCTCCAGCACGGCCACAGCCCCAGAAGCACAAGGGCTTAATGCAGAACCCAGCAGCTTGGAGCAGAAAAGTGAAAGGACTATGCGTTAATCCAGGCAATCATTTCTGCCCAGAGGGGAAAGGGTGTTGCTCCCTTCCGCCCTCCTCCCTCTGGAAAGAAAGATGGCGGCCACATGGGAGCCTTGTGGACAGCAGGTATGAGCCGGGGGTGTGGGGGCGACTAAAACCTCATGGGAAGGGGGGCGTTCTGGTCCGTCCTTCACGCCCTACCGAGGTCACCAGTCACCCCTCACGAGTGGCTCTCCAGCGCGGCCACAGCCCCAGAAGCACAAGGACTTAATGCAGAACCCAGCAGCTTGGAGCAGAAAAGTGAACGGACTATGCATTGATCCAGGCCATCAAGTCTGCCGGAGGGGAAAGGGTGTTGCCCCATTCGCCCTCTCCTCTCTGGAAAGAAAGATGGCGGCCACATGGGAGCCTTGTGGACAGCAGGTATGAGCCGGGAGTGTGGGGGCGACTAAAACCTCATGGGAAGGGGGGCGTTCTGGTCCGTCCTTCACGCCCTACCGAGGTCACCAGTTGCCCCCCACGAGTGGCTCTCCAGCACGGCCACAGCCCCAGAAGCACAAGGGCTTAATGCAGAACCCAGCAGCTTGGAGCAGAAAAGTGAACGGACTATGCATTGATCATCAAGACTATGCATAGGCCATCAAGTCTGCCGGAGGGGAAAGGGTGTTGCCCCATTCGCCCTCTCCTCTCTGGAAAGAAAGATGGCGACCACATGGGAGCCTTGTGGACAGCAGGTATGAGCCGGGAGTGTGGGGGCGACTAAAACCTCATGGGAAGGGGGGCGTTTCGCTCCGCCCTTCACGCCCTACCGAGGCCACCAGTTGCCCCCACGAGCGGCTCTTCAGCACGGCCACAGCCCCAGAAGCACAATGACCTAATGCAGAACCCAGCAGCTTGGAGCAGAAAAGTGAAAGAACTATGCGTTAATCCAGGCAATCATTTCTGCCCAGAGGGGAAGGGGTGTTGCTCCCTTCCGCCCTCCTCCCTCTGGAAAGAAAGATGGCGGCCACATGGGAGCCTTGTGGACAGCAGGTATGAGCCGGGGGTGTGGGGGCGACTAAAACCTCATGGGAAGGGGGGCGTTCTGGTCCGTCCTTCACGCCCTACTGAGGTCACCAGTTGCCCCCCGCGAGCGGCTCTCCAGCACGGCCACGGCCCCAGAAGCACAAGGACTTAATGCAGAACCCAGCAGCTTGGAGCAGAAAAGTGAACGGACTATGCATTGATCCAGGCCATCAAGTCTGCCGGAGGGGAAAGGGTGTTGCCCCATTCGCCCTCTCCTCTCTGGAAAGAAAGATGGCGGCCACATGGGAGCCTTGTGGACAGCAGGTATGAGCCGGGAGTGTGGGGGCGACTAAAACCTCATGGGAAGGGGGGCGTTCTGGTCCGTCCTTCACGCCCTACCGAGGTCACCAGTTGCCCCCCACGAGCGGCTCTCCAGCACGGCCATGACTCCAGAACACAGAAACCAATTTCTTAACTATCTGACTTTCAGTAGAAATACTTCCAGGGTCAATAGGTAAAATAGCAGAAATCCAAAACCAACATTTAATTCTTGAACCCAGCCGTAGAAAGCAAATCACTTCACAATGCTTTTTCAGCATGTCTGATTTGGGGGGGGGGGGGGAAACTCTAAATAATAGTGGTGAATCTTTTATTGAAACAATGAATCTAATCAAAGCAGATAGAGTGTTAACTAGAATTCATCTGCCTCACAGGGACGGGGAGGGGTGGGGGGTGGGGTTTTATTGGGGTTCTTCATGGTAAAAAATAAGTATTGGTAAAGGGAAATGTGTTTGATATTTGCATGACTGAGACATAAACCTGAAAGCTTTGTAACCTTTCCCACAGTGATTCAATAAATAAATTAAAAAAAAAAAGATGAAAGAATGAAAAGCAGCGAAGCTAACATAAAAACTATATGGGACAGCATTAACAATATTCTCATCATAGGTTCCAGAAAGAGGGGAGAGAGAGAGAGAGAGAGAGAGAGAGAGAGAGAGAGAGAGAGAGAGAGAGAGAGAGGAACAGAATTCTTATTTAAAACATAGATGAGAAAGGAATTAAAGTATCCAAATTCAGATAGCTCAAAGAGTTCAAAGTAAACCCAAATAGATGCACACTAAGTCATGAAGTATCATTAAAATGGCAAAAGGAAAAAAAAGATAATCATAACATCATCAAGAAAATAAAAGTACAGTATGGCCCCCAGACAAACAAACAAAATCAAAGAAAAGTTTCACATATTAGTAAATCCCCAAACAACTATAAGCATATTTCTGAACTCACACTCTACATTCCAGAAGAGAGTGACCTAATATAGACAAACGATGAATGGAAAAGAATACCAGTCGAGGATACCATACCCTGCTAGGTTATCACTTAGATATGAATGCAGACTAGAGAACTTTTTAGAAATATAACTGTAACACTGTAGCACTGTCCTGTCCTCCTGTTGTTCATCAGTTTGCTTGAGCGGGCACCAGTAACATCTCCATTGTGAGACTTGCCCTTACTGTTTTTGGCATATCGAATATGCCACAGGGAGCTTGCCAGGCCCTGCTGTGAGGCGGGATAGTCTCGGTAGCTTGCAGGGCTCTCCAAGAGGGACGGAGGAATCGAACTCGGGTCGGCCTCATGCAAGGCAAACGCCCTACCTGCTGTGCTATCGCTCCAGCCCAGAAATAACCACCAAACTGGCCTTCCAAGAAATACTTTGGGGATTTCTTCAAAGTAAAATATTTCCACTTAGAAGTAGCAAGATGCCTGAAAAATAAAATATGGGAGAGAAAGAGAATAAATAATGGGAAATCACTATTTTCATGCTTTGTCACACCTTGTTTTTGACTAGAAGTCTCGAGCGGACGGCTCCAGGTAGACCCATCAATAGGCTGATGCAAAGAGTAAAGTTGAGGGTTTTTTTGTTTGTTTGTTTGTTTGTTTTAGTTTTTTGTTTGGGGGCCACATCCAGCAATGCTCAGGAGTTACTTCTGGCTCTGCACTAAGGAATCACTCCTTGAGGGCTTAGAAGACCTGTCAGGGATAGAACTCAGGTTGGCTGCGTGCTAGGTAACTTCTTCCCTGCTATACTATTGCTCTGGCCCATAATATTGAGTTTTCTATCCAGAAAAGTGCTTCTACATTTGTTAAACCTTCATCCTCACATTTTTTTGAGTAAAATGACCAGAAAATTGTTTCAAGATAAAATAAACTGTATGAAAATTTTACAAAACCTTTAAGTATTTTGTGAATCTAAGAGAAATAGAAGATACCCTTTCTTTTCCTTCTGAATCTCAGAGGAAGCCTCTTTGTCCCACTAAAGCCAGTGGAAGAGCAGGTGCCATTAATGTGGGACTTTGAAAGCATCTCAAGAGAAGTCTTCTCAGTGTGTGTGCATTTGCAAACTGAGCACTCCTGTTGGGTAAATTATATTCAATAAGTAGTACCTTACCCATATTCTTCCCAACGTTGTTCTTTGTATATTGCTGTTTTGTAGTGTAATGCGTCGCTAAATAAATTGGGAAATGCTGGACTTGAGAGAGAGAGAGAGAGAGAGAGAGAGAGAGAGAGACTAATAAAGTCCTTGATATGCTAATATGCTTTAAGGCTTTTCCGAAGAGAACAGTATTTTCTAAATGTATACTTATGGAACTATGGTGAGGAGCATCTCACTGGGTTCTGTGGAAGGCTCTTGGCGGTTTCTGCCTTCTGCTTTTTTCCCAGAGAGACAGGATGGCAACTGGTCTTTTTGCCCAACCCACCCACAGGCTGGTCCTGGACAGCATTGATCTCAGCAGGGAGCCCATTTCTCAGAGTTGCAAAAGACTAGTGTCTACCCTGGTCCCAGGGAAGAGAAAGTCCTGGGTAAAGGCTATATCTGAGTTAGTGAAGGAAAGTGCATGTATGTGTGTGTGTGTGTGTGTGTGGTGGGTGGCGTTAAGGGGCAGGGTGAGCCCCTCTCTGACTTTCAGAGCTGAGCTGCCTCTTCCCAACTTTGCCCTGGAGAAAACTTTTCATCTCCTTGAGCTTCATAATCCTCATTTTTAAATAAGGGTGACAGTCACCAAATCAGTGGACTGCCACCGTGGCTCATTAACAGATCTGAAAGCATTCAGCACAGTTCTCAGCTGATAGTATGTGGGGAACTTTTAGAAAGCACGGCTGGTGGCTGGTGTCTTTGTATCTCTGTATACTGATTGATATGTTTGGCACAATGCTGGCACAGAGTCAGGCACAAAGTTTTCCCTGAATGAAGAGACAACCCCAACTAGAGGTTGCAAATATAAATGTTTCTCAGTAAGGCTAATTTAAGAGTGTATGTGTGTGTGTCTGTGTGTGTGTGTGTGTGAGAGAGAGAGAGAGAGAGAGAAAGAGAGAGAGAGGGGAGAGGAGATATATAGAGAGAGAGAGGAGAGGAGATATAGACAGGCAAACACAAAGAGACAAAGAGAGACACAGAGACAGAGACTGAGATAGTAAATAATAAAATAGTGGAGTGATAATCTTTAATAGTGAAGGTATCTTCTGTGGGGAGAATGACCAGAGAGAATTGTGGGGGTTTTGCATGTTTCTGAAAATGGCATACAAATCAGACAGTGCAACATTATCCAAGATGCTGTGTTTTAAAAAGAGAGTATGATCCACAATAGCTGTTGCAACTGTTTTCATAGTCACTGGGAGTTCATGAAAAGGGGATGGAAACTGAGGGCTTTGCCGGTTGAACTTCTCTGCAGGGCTGGCCAAGCACTGGTAGATGCGCTTCAGAGTAACAAGCTGCTTAACCCATGCTGGAGTTTGGGTTATGCTTTCTTTTTTTTATTTCCCTGTATCATTTCTTCTTTGTAGATAAAATCGGAATGGAAGGCTACAGACATGAACTGCAAGTGAAATAACCTTGAGAAGAGGCTGCTCTTGTTGAAACTTACCATCTCCCTGTTGCTATGGTTACCTCCAGCAGGTCGCCCAGTGAGAATGGCTCTGTCCTCAGCAACGAATCAGGGAAGCCCAGCACCGGAAGGCGCTCTCCCCAGAATGTAATGGCACAGCAGAAAGTGACAAAGGAGGAGGCCCGGAAGAGAAATGGTGAGACTCCAACCCTGCCAAGCACCAGCCCCGAACCCAACCCACACATGCTTGCGTCCCCGCAAATGCATGCTGAGTGCCCACACTCACCACCACTCCCCTCCAGCCCTGCCCTCTTTTGTATCCTATGAAGGCCTGGAGTCCCGCCCATCCTCCTGGGGTACCCTCAGCCCCACCCCGTTCTCCGAACCACTGTGTCTCCCTCTTTCTAAGTCCTGCCCATAATTATGAAATTGTGCCCCACCTTTGAAAATCCATCCGCAGGAAGAACTGGCATTTGCTTAGTAATTTTTCTCATTCCTGGGCGAGTGGACATGCTTTCTAGCTCTGGGCTCACTACAGGAGTTGGTCTCCTAAACGCTGCTTAACTTGGAGATAAGCAGCATTTTCTTGCCTTGACTCCCTTGAGCAATTTCAGGGGTTCAGTTTCAGTGCTTATGAGCCCAGGGACTGCAAATTCACCTCTCCTCAGAAAAGAACACAGTGATCTATTGTCTTAGTTAAAAACAGACTTTGCTAACTGGGCTGTACCCTGATTCTCCAGGGAAATGGAACCATTTCACTTCTTTCTCACAGTCTTTTACTTTCTTGAGGGTTGGGGGTTATTTATGTGTGAGGATAGTCTTGTGGGGTGGTGACACTTGTAGAGAGCACATTGGTGGGACATCAGGGTCCACTCCTCCCTCTTCCCATGCCAGCTTTGTTCTTATCTTCACTTGTTTGGTGCTTGCACGTGGGTTACTGCAGCCCAGATTCAAGTACCTGCTACAGCCACTCAGATCAGGATATATTCCTTGTGGAGTTCCAACAGACAGGTCTGAAGATAAGGCAAACAATCTGGCACGTTGGGAGACCCGAGAGATAGTACAGCAGGCAAGGCACTTGCCTTGCAGGTAGCTGACCTGGGTTCAATTCCCAGCATCCCATATGGTCCCTCAAGCCTACCAGGAGTGATCCCTGAACACAGAGCCAGGAATAAACCCTGAGCACTTCCAGGTGTATTTTCTCCTCACTCCCCCTTGAAAACAAACACTGTGGAACTCTGGTTAGGAATGTGAAAAAAATAGGATTCAGGGACTCTCTCAGGCGGTTAGCAGCAGAATATCCTGTTCTGTTTGTTTGGAGGCCATTCCCAGCGGTATTCAGAAGAAACTTCCAGCTCTGTACACAGGGAAAGCAAACTCTGCCTAAAAGCCATGCGCTGCTATAGATGTCTGGTCTCCTGCAACAAAGCTCTCTCAATCTCTTCTTCCCTTCCTCCCTCTCTCAGTCTCTCTCTCTCTCTCCCTCCCTCACTCCCTCCCCGCCTTCTCTCTCCCCCACCCCCCCACCCCCCGCCAATATGATTTTTTGGATTTGTTTTCAAATGTTATCTTTTTTTTTTTTACTCCCAAAGTACAAAGTACAGAAAATAAATAATGGCACAATGGATTTGTCTTCTGCAGGGATATGGTTCCCGTTTCCGTTTCCAGCCATTATGCAATGTACTTATTTAAGCTTTTAATCTGATTTGACTCTTGAGTTTTTATTTCCGCTGAATTCCCTATACTGTGGTACTTTCCATACCCAGGTTGAAGGTGTGTGGTTTTGCCTGAATCAATGCCCTACTTGGCACAAGCAAGAACCCTGCCAACCAGCTGTCTGCCAGTCCAGCGCATGACATAAGGCCAGAGGAGCTGACTTGGGAGGGGCAAAAGGAAGCAGTAGTGGACACAATAGTGGACAGTGTCACTAGAGGGGAAGGTTGTTTTACACCTAGCCAAGAGGCCCTTCCTACCCCTTCCCATCCTCCCCTTACCCCCCTTCTGGCCTCTCTCCCTTTATGTATTTTTTAGAAATACACAGTCAAGTCAAAGTCTATCCTTTCAGGTGCCCAGCACTCCCCTAGTCCTCCAACAACATGCAATAACACAGTGTGTATTTTTCTTGAGCCTTTGAAATATTTGTATGAAAGATACGCTCATTTTTTTTCAACTTGGTATATTGCTTTGCTTTAATTTATACAATGGGATCAAAGTACATATCATTCTGTGCTCTTTTCCTTGCTTGAAACCATGCGATATACAGACTCCTTTCTCAGTCATTTCAGTCGTTTCAAAATTACAGGAACAACAGGCTAGAACAGAGGGGCTATTGGCAAGAGCGCAGTTTAAGTTGGGGAGCACATCTAATCAGCACAAGCAGTAAGAGCAAACTTCCGGGGGAGGCCGTGTGGGAGATGCGTCTGGTTTTATTTAGAGTCAGGGTGATAAAACAGCTTAAACATGCACATTGTAGTTTTTCAGGAAACTCAAGCGTATGGTGGAGGGAAATTGGTGGGCGGGCAGAGCAGAACATACAGTGGGCGTGTGACACGTGTGTCATAAATGGCAGAGAGCGCTACCATGTGTGTTATAGTATGATAATGTGAAAAGTGGTCAAGGGTGAGAAGAACCCCATGGCACAGCCTCTGTTGAACAGTAAGAGGTCGAGACTCATCGTCCCCACCATGGTATCCAGGTAGCTCTGCACTGGCCCAATCAAAACCAAAAGAATGTAACTAGGTGGGGTTGGAGGTAGTTCACATGCTAGGGAGGAAGCATGCCTAGCATGTGCCCAGCCCGGTTTGATTCTCAGCACCTCATGGTCCCTCAAACATCACTGAGTGTCTCCTTGGAGGTCCCCAAGCACTGCTGGGCATGCCCCCTCCTCCCCACAGGTTTCCTTGGTCTGGACTGGCAAGTATCCCCATGCCCCCAAATAACGCAACTCGCTGGCTTCTCCCAGAGTTGTCTCCTCCTCCACATTGCAATCCTCAGGCCAATCTATTTTGCTTTCTTAATCCTTTCTAAACATTGTAGATCAAGAGAAGGGACAACATGTTGCAGAAAGTTATGGGTATTTAATACACATTTTTTAAGGGATTCCTTTCCTCTGCCCCTACATTTAGTCTATGAAAGACGAAAGAGTGTGCAAGGGGCGGAGGAGGGAGACAATTCTGGATCCTGTCACCCCACATCTCAGACTGGTCAGAAACTGACCTGCTCTCAGTGTTCCTGGTGACTGTCCCATCCAGCCTTTCCACCCTTCTGCTTGCGTCGTTATCCTGTTTAGAGTGCCATGCGTGTTGAAATATCAGGTTCAGAAATAAGAGTCCCATGAATAAAATGCAGTTACTGGACCAGGTCAAAGTTTTTGTTTGCTTTATTAAAAAAGCACCCCCTTTTCTGGGCTTAAAGTGTTTCATTGCATTTATTTTTGCCAAGAGCAAACTCAGTTATTTTCACAGTTGGTTGATTTGTTTCGCCACAGATTTCTTTTCAGTGAGGTTTCAATTTGAAGTTTTTGAATAGAAATGAAAGGTTCAGGGCTGGGAAGATAATACGGCAGGTAGGGCGCTTGCTTTGTGTGTGGCTGTCCAAGGTTCAGTCCCCAACATTCCACATGGGCACGCTGAGCACCACCAGGAATGATCCCTGAGCACAGAGCCAGGAGTTAGCCCTGAGAACCACTGGGTGTGGCTCTAAAACAAAAATCAGAAACAAAACCCAAACACCAGAATGATAGGACTAAGTCATTAATGTCATATTCAAAAGTTGCCAGCGCACATGAGAATTCTACACTGGATATTCTAGGCCTTTTTTATTTTAATCAAAGGAAGGTTTCCAATTTATTCTAATACTGTTAGCATTTACCAAAAACAATCAATACAGTTTTTTTTTTTTTTGCTTTTTTGGGTCACACGCAGCGATGCACAGGGGTTACTCCTGGCTCTGCAGTCAGGAGTTATTCCTGGCGGTGCTCAAGGGACTATATGGGATGCTGGGAATCGAACCCGGGTCAGTCACGTGCAAGGCAAACGCCCTACCCGCTGTGCTATCTCTCCAGCCCCACAATAGAGTATTTTTAATGTTAGGGCTATGAACCGAAGGAAGGAAGGAAGAAAATAGCGCTGAATAGAATAGTGGAGAAAAAAAAATAGTCATCACATCAGCAACTTACACAAAGTATCTTATTGTGTAATGTGGCTTCTGAAACTAGATTCTTCTTTTGGTACAAAAAAATTCTGATATTGTGGTTTTATGGCTCAGTATCCATGTTCTGCTCACATGACTAATAAATGATTATGTTCCAAGCATCTTGTTTTTCACCAGGCTAGTTCTAACTATAATTTCTAATTTCTCCTCTTTGTGAAAAGAAGAACTTTTCTATTTTATTATTTTGGGGCTAGACCCAATGATTCTCAGTGGTTATACCTGCCTCTGCACTCAGGAATTACTTCTGGTGGTGCTCAGGGCACTATATGGGATGTCATGGATTGAACCATGGTCAGGCATATGCTAATCCTACCCGCCTACCTGCTTTACTATCTATTGATCAGGCTGGGAAAGAACTTTTTTTTTTTTTGGCTTTTTGGGTCACACCCAGTGATGCTCAGGGGTTACTCCTGGCTCTGTACTCAGGAATTACCCCTAGCGGTGCTCAGGGGACCATATGGGATGCTGGGAATTGAACCTAGGTAGGCTGTGTGCAAAGCATGCAAGGCAAATGCCCTACCCGCTGTGCTATTGCTCCAGCCCCAGAAGAACTTTTTTTAAGTTAATTTTTTTTGTTCACACCCAGCAATGCTCAGGAGCTATTTTTGGTTCTGCACTCAGGAATTACTCCTGACAGTGCTTGGGAGGTCAGATGGGATGCTGGTGATCAAACCCAGGCTGCTGTACTGTTGCACCAGCCCAAGAAGATCTTTAAAATTCAACTTTTTCCTAAATACCACTTAATTGTTTGTTTGTTTGGGGAGCCAGACCTAACTGGTTCAGGGCTTATTCCTAGCTCTGTCCTCAGGAATGACTCCTGGTGGTGCTCTGAGGATAATAGGCGGTGCTGGAACTCAAACCTGGGTCTGCTTTGTACAAGCAAGCATCTTAACTCCTGTACCATTCCTTCTGCCCAGAAAGAATAACTTTAAAGGAAAGACAAGATCTCTCTAGCAGCGTGGCTGGTGTGGGTCCCTGCAGCTT